GGCTCTACTGTACAATTAAGCATAAATAATTGCTTGCGTTTCGCCCGTTGATGGCCAAGTCAATTCCTTAATTGAGGCACAATGGCTTTTTTTTATGGGACCGTTAATTGATTTACTCATAATCTCGATTTTCAGATGCAGGTATTCGAACCATTGAACCATTCAATCAAAGTTCGCGTCGACAGAATCCCATCAATCGAATCAATGCGATTGTTTTATCTAATGGTGATTTCCCTCGATTTTCCGCTGTACCGTTGTGTAGGGAAAGGGGCGCAGAGTGAGAGGGCAATAAGGATCCTGCCGTTGGTGCTGGCCAACTGGTTTGTGCTAATGCGCTTTGGCTTGGCCCATAAACGTGGCAAAGTTCTAAAGCCGTCGACTTAATTGTGTGCGAGGAGGGTAGCAATGGCATTCTCCATTTAAACTGCAAAGCTACTTTAAGTTGCTCAAAAAAAAGGAAATTGAAAATGAAAAAAAACGAAAATCGCGTGGGCGCACTCGTTGTTTTGGGGGTTGTCCTTGTCTCGCGGCCACTCGTTGATTTCGTCCTGCGCAGACTCGTTATTTTGACTCTTCGATTTTCCAGTGGCGCAAGCGCCGGCGCTTTCTCTTCCACTCTCGTTCTTTCTCTGAGCTTTCGCGTATACTGAGAAAGCTCGCCTCTTTGGGCGGCACCAAAAAAAACGAAAGAGAGAGCGCACTTCCAGCGCATCCAGGCACACAGTTCCGTTAGTTCAGTTGAATTCGGCCAGCTCTCCAGAAAACTCGCACAAAAGAGAGCTAAAACCTTTAAATTAAAGTTCTTAACGCATTAAAAAAACGCTAAAATAAAGTGTGGAATATGTAAAAAAATATGTAATAATTAAAGTGTTAATTGAAAGTCTTAGCAACAATTCAGTTTGGCGCTTAAATATGGGACTTTGCAAAAGTTCTTTCCCCATTTTCTCCCCCTTTTTTTTTGGATAAACGCATGAATCATTTTGGCCTGCTGGAATACAAAAACAAATAGCTGCCAAGTGTACAAAAGAAAAGTTTTGTTTGTGCTTTTCTTATTTGGCTGAAACAACAAAAAATCGCCTCCTTGCGTCAGCATGTGCCCATTTTCCAGCTCTCTCTCACTCCCTCTCTCTTGTTTATGGCCACTTGTAAGACAGCGCGAAAAAAATAAGATTAAAAAATAAAGTTAGTTTTCAACAATAAAGGAGCTCCTAATTATGTGTATAAAAATCAAAACAAAATATTAAATATTAAAAAAAAAAAATAAGCTAGCCGCAAAAAGAAAAAAAAGTTCAATTTGTTAACGTAAATTATTGATTTTTGGCCATATTTGTACGCATTTCGAGTTTTGGTTAATGAAAAACACGCTCCTTAATTACACATTTTTCCTTGGCTCAGCAAAGCCCTCGCCTAGAGCTTTTCCATTCGCTGCTTTCGCTCTTCCTCTCTTGGTTTCTAGTTTTTCCTAGCCAAAGACAACAAAATTTCCCGCATTCGCCAGAAGCGAGTAACAAATTTCCTTGCTCTTGGACACGCGAATTTTTCAGTTTAGAATTGGACTTTACCGTTAGCGGTCAAATCGCGTATCCTTGAGAATCCTTTGCTGGGGATCAAAACAAAATGCGCAGATGAAAACAAAACTGAATTGTTGGGTGACATAATATTACATTATATTACAGTGTGAGCCAAAAACTTATAGAAAAACCCGGAAAACCGACAAAAGTGAACAGAAAGTGATTGAAAACAGCCAAAGGATAATTGAAAAATCAAACTGAAAGTTCAAGTAAAGTGACAAGGTCGAATACCTCGGATAGCAAAGTTAGTTAGATCTAGATCCCCAGCCTTCGAATACCCCCACGTTGTACACCTGGTTTTCTTCGCTGGCAACGTAGTCGGCCATTGAGTTGGCCGATACCAAACGACCTTCAAAACGTTTTGCGTCGAGGCAATACGCACCATGGGCTGCGCACAGTCTGCCGAGGAGCGAGCCGCAGCCGCCAGGAGTCGCCTCATCGAGCGCAATCTCAAGGAGGATGGCATACAGGCGGCAAAGGACATTAAACTCCTGCTGCTGGGTGAGTTTCTCCGCGTTTTCCGAGTTTTCCCAGGGAGCCAAGAGCACGTGAATATTTAATTCGCGGCCCGGCTAAAATTAGTATAGCATACTTAGCGGCTGCCCTGGCGGCTCATTACAGCCCCTGAAATGTCCTTAGAACGGCGCACGGCATTATGTTTCGTCAGCTGAGCAGCCTTGGCCTTTAACAGATGCTATTTCTGGTACAAACAGGACCCTCTAAGGTCCCCTTTTTCTTGTTCACTTAAAAGTTCTGCCTTTAAGACAAAAAATATAGAATTAGTAAATGAAATTAAGATTCACGGGTAGTCCTATGAAGGAACCTATTTTTACACACTTAATTAGAAAACATTTTAGAAAAAGCCTCGTGTAAATCTCTCCTTATCAAAAATATGAACAATAAACTTTAAATATATTTAAATCTCTAAACTTATCTAAATCTCTACTGATTCAAAGTTAGATCTATGGAGAAAACTATTTTTACTCACTAAAAAAAAAAACATTTTAGAAACAGCCTCATATAAATGTAACCTTAAAAAATATAAACAATAACATAAAAATGTGTAAATCTCTAGCATTTCCGGCTGATTTCTCTCAACCAGAATGAAGTTTGAAGTTTTATTACCCGTTTAATATTTATATTTGTTTTATTATCCGATCTAGGAATTCCGGAAGTAACGGAAAAACACCAAAGTTCCTTTATACATTTGGACTCAGCATGTAACAAACATTTCGATTCATTCTTTATTAAAGCAAGAAAACATAGCATAAACAAACATTCTTAAATGCGAAAGTCATCCTGATTTGTACTTATGCCAATCCATAAATAATTCCCAAGGAACTTGACTCTTTAGTTATTGTATCAATTATTTAACTACTCTATATCGATTGTTGGCATAGGAACTGCAAGTTGTGCTTCCATTTTCTTGGCACAGTTCCCTCTCGACTCTTTACTCTCTACGCTTGGTTGTTGCTTAGAGCGACAGTGAATTGCCATAAATTTAATAATCACAATAATATTTTTATGTATCAATTGGAAAGTTCAAGGTCAGTTGTTTGCGGGCGAATCGAATGCAGGGTGTGTGTGTAAGAGTCGGGGAAAATAGTGTGCGCATATGTGCAATAATATATTGCAGTTGATTGTAATTGCCATTGGATTCCGATTTGTGATAAGCGGGCATAATAAACAAGTCCGCTGGAAGGCATTCAGAGAAATGAAAAATAGACATTGCATCGGCATAAATAACCTCTGCGAATTTTCCTCGTGCCGAGCAAAAATATATAGAGCATTTACCAAATTTGGTCTGTTAATCAAGGCGGAAAATGTAGGAAAATAGCATTTCGCTTCTCGTTCTGCTGGGCAAATGAGTAATTTCCATATTTTCATACGCTTTTCAGTAGCTCTCATCTCCGGCTGCATATTCCACCTACAGCCCCATTTCGCTGTTTACATTTCGTGTATTTCATTTAATTTCCTCTTTTGCTCGGACTCGGCTGAAAATGTTTGGCAGGGGGAGAAGATTTCAATTTCTGACAGTTTTGCGTGTGTTTCAGAATAAAATGTTCACTTTCAGGCAACACCCACTGCGTGTGTGTGGTGCCCCAGAGTACTGGAAATGTTTATTTAAAAAGATTGTTCTGATTCTGCCGTGCGCATCCAAGAATTCATAATAATAATCAGAGCAACACGTACGCGCGATCTATGCCCCTCTCTGTTTCCCGAATCTTTTGTTTTCCTGCAATCCACGGAGGCATTAAATTTAAGCACTTTGCCTTCGATTTCCACACAAACAAAACATTAATCTCAGGTGCCTACTCAGTCCCCCGATTACCTCTATAAACAAAAGAGCGAAATTTCCCTGTTCGCTGCTCTTGAGTTTTCAAAATCTAAACAATTTCTAGCTTTTTTCTGGGTGGAGTTCTTTCCGCAGATTATTTTAAAATTTTTATAAAGATGTGTGAAACGCTTCAAGTGGTGGACAATGAACTCATTACTTCAATTCATGGTTTTAAAGAAAAAACCAAGAAATTAGAAAAACTTATTTATATTAAGCATTCATTGATAGGCAAAATACATAATACTTTCAGATCTTTGTATCATCTTAATAATATTAAATGCGAAAATCCAATAAAATTATTAAATTAATTTGAAGAATTTTACTTATTGGGGAATTTATTCAAATGTTGATAAATTATAATAGCATTATCACAAGATGTAAGAAGAAATGATAGACATAGTAATTTATTATAGCCACAAATGGCGTTTTATTTAAGTCTTAAAGATGATTGAACTTTAGTGGGCAGCAAAAAATAGCCAAATGAAATTACCATTTATCAAATTATGCCATTTGCCCAAGGACAGCTAGCCTAAGCAATTTTCCAGCCGAGCTCTCAGCTATCTCGATTATCTCGTTTATCACAAAACCCCCTTCAGCAGACACTCAATTAACAAATTGCATTCAATTGGATGGAAATTCTGCTAAAATTGCAGCTTGCAAATCCTTCAAAGCGGCCAGAGACGAGAAATAAGGAGTCTATATAGTCGCCAGATGACCAGGGCCAAACAATTAATCCTTTGTTTGCCATTTATAGTTCTGCCCCCATCCCAACCCCCCTTTTGCGTTTTTCTCATTTCTTTTTGCCGACGGCATCTCAAGATGATACATTGACGACGATGATGACGATGATAATGATAATGATAATCACGATGTGGGTGGGTGGCTCAAAGGCCATTAAGCCCTACTTGAGGAATACAAAGCACAGACATTTAGTGCTCGAGAACTAAACGCAGCATAAATATTTGCAACCCTCTAAGATCTTTTGTCGGCGCCGATAACCGCATAACCAGACGCATAAAGACCCCATGTACATTGCACACATATCTGTGTGTATGCTTATCTCTAACTCGATTCTTTTTCTCCATTTCTAGGTGCCGGTGAATCGGGCAAGAGCACAATAGTCAAACAGATGAAAATCATTCACGAGAGCGGCTTCACTGCGGAGGACTTTAAACAATATCGACCGGTTGTCTACAGCAACACAATACAATCATTAGTTGCAATATTGCGCGCGATGCCAAACCTAAGTATTCAGTACAGCAATAACGAGCGGGAGGTAAGTCCCCAATGAGTCTCCATTCAGTCGGTCCAAAGGCACTAACCCCGGTTTTCCATTTTCCGCACATTTCCCGGCCGCGCTCCACCCCGCAGAGCGATGCCAAGATGGTGTTCGACGTGTGCCAGCGGATGCACGACACCGAACCCTTCTCGGAGGAGCTGCTGGCCGCCATGAAACGCCTCTGGCAGGATGCCGGTGTCCAGGAGTGCTTCTCGCGCAGCAACGAATACCAACTGAACGATTCCGCTAAATAGTGAGTACACAGCCATCGTATCATTTGCGCAAATACATTCAGCCGCTTGAATGAATGGGGTGCGAAGTGATACGGGCAGATGGTGGGGCGAATTATTTTAAATGCTGTATTTTTAATCAGTTCGCAAACACGTGGGCGGGCAAAGCAAACGGGTGAATATTATTTTAAATAGTTTAGTTTATTTTAGAGCGGTAAACAAGCGTGCAGAATGAAACATAACACAGCTGCAAAATCAAATTCAAAGTAAAGAGGTTCTATGTTAATTACGAAAAATAGTTAGTGAGATCTAGAAAGTTTATCCAACCAAAATAATATAATATAATATTGAAGTAGAAGAATATCCGACAATATTTCGTAGCCCAAAATCGAATTTATTTGATAAATTAATAATACCTACAAATCAGTTCAAATTCCCTGAAGTCAAGTTTTAATAAATATTTTTATCCATTTGAAACTCAATACGCTTTAGCTTTCCTGGCTAAAATTAACTTTGGCATATCACGATTGGCCTCTTCATCAAATGTATTTTAAGCTACATCATTATGACTACGGAATACGTGATTTTCGCCCATTTAATTTGACTTGTAATTGAATATTTCTGGTTTTCGTTACAGTATTCTAAAAATAGTATTATTTGAGCAGATATGTATTATTTTAGAGTAACTGGCTCTTAAAAGTCAAGCCCAAAATAAAATCACTTTTGGGATTAACCGTACCAAACCATTCAACCAATAGAACTAATGACACACTTAATAAAAAGCAATTAATCATGCGCATAGATTGGCGTTTGCTTGACCTTAGCCATCACAGTTTGTCCTAAGCTGAGCCCACTCGCCTCCTTTTGATTAATGATAATGCCAGACGAGAAAAGCAAACAGAAACAGACATTTTATTGCATACTTTTCGACGCTTTATTAGGTACAATTATTCTTCGAGAAAAAAGACTAAAACTAAATATGGGGGAGTATAATGGTCTCTATATACACATGTATCAACATAACTACACAGCGTTTATTTAGTTACACGCACCCACAGAACTACGCTCGTGGCAATGGGGTGTATCGAAATGGTCGGGAACGTGTGTGTGCTATGTACATTTGCTTAATTAAAAAGAAACATCGCAGCAGCACCAGCAGCAGCTGGGCTTTGACTATAAATATCACACATCCGCCGTGTGTCACTGCAGCTTTGAGGCTGAGCTGAGCTGAGCCCGGTGCAGAGCTCCCAGGGCCTCCAGTTCCCTTCGCTGGAGACGACTCACTCGTCCCTCAGCGTTAGCTTGAAATTTAGAGGCGACTGTGGGATGTACGTCGAGTTCACACGGTACACAAACTCTCCGGAATTGTACGAGACCTTGTATTTGCGGAAGATCTGTTTCGAGAATTAAACATGGCAAATTAAAGGGTTCCCAGCAGCAGGTGCACATAAAAGTATGGTAAAAAGAAACTCACCTTGGCCAGCAGCGTGTGCAACTCGATTTCGGCGAAACGACGACCCACGCACATGCGACGCCCGAAGCCAAAGGGCAGACTCACAAACGGGTGAATTTTCTGGCTGGCATGGGGGCATCCAGCTGAAAAGTAAGGGCACTTTGGTTAGAACACTCGAAATTACATTTTAAAATCACAGGTTTATTAAATTTACCTTGTTAAGACTCGATTAAAAACTTTGTTCTGTTTGACTCTTAAATTCAAAGTTAGAATGAAAGTTAGTTTAATATTTACCAAAAACTACTTGCAAAAACTTAGTTTCTTTTATAAATGAAATTTTAATTTGAATACAATAATAATTCCTAGAAACTGCCAGGCACTTAGTTCGTAATCTTTTCATTTACACGAATAATATAGACCCCAACCGAAAATTGTCTGCATGTCTTAAAATCCTGTTTTTTGTGACCAACTCACCTGCATCTGCCGCCGACTGCTTCAGCCAGCGCTCCGGCAGAAAACGCTTGGGTTCTGGGAAATATGCGGGATCGTTTGAAACAACCAGATGGGGAAAGATAACGTGCGTCTGAAGGCAAAGGAAAATAAAGTGGTGAAGTGGCGCCACAAAAGGTCACTCTCTTTTCAGAAACTTACACCTTTGGGCACGTGGTAGCCATTAATGACAGCATCCGACTGCAGACTTCGGCCATTGGCAATCACCACGGGTCGCATTCTATACGGCGCAAAAAGGGTTATCCATTAAGAAGGAGACTTTAACGCAATCAAAGAGAGTGCCTTTTACCGTAGAGTTTCCTTCACGCAGGCTCGCAGGTAGGGCATCTGCTCCAGGACATTCTGGTTGATCTCCGCCTCGCGCTTGGGAAACACCTTCTGCAGCTCGTCGAAGAGACGCTGCTGTTTGTCTGGGTTTTTGGCCAGCTGATATATTGTGGATGAGGCTGCCACGGAGGTCTAAAAAATTATAAATTCCCCCCTTTTAATAAAATATTATTAAAACTTGTATTTCAACCTACCGTATCTACTCCCACTAAAAACAAATCCAGCGCCAAAATAGCAGCCAGCTTGCGATTGCCTGTCTTTCGCACTATCCTCTCCACAATGGATATATCCGCCTCCGATTTGGGCAATCCTCTAGCCTCATCGGCATCGGCCTTGTCCATCGTCTTGCCAATGTTCTTCATGCAAATTCTGGGGAAATATGATTTCATCAAGTGATTATTGACCAAATATTTGTGCATTTAATGGACTCACGCTGTGAACTGATCCAAAGCCTTCACGAAGCTTCTGTATGCCTTGGTGGGATATATGCGCCACAAGGGCATTCGCAGCTCCAATTCCGGAACAGCCCAGAAAAATGTGTTGATAGCCTCGATAATCTGCTGGGCTTCCTCGCTGCCTTCCGGCGATAAACAGCCCAATCTGGTGTCCAGGGAAACACGGCCCACAGCTGGAATAGGTTTAAATAAATATATTCAAATATTTACGGGGTATGTACATGATAAAATATGATAACTATAAAACCATAATTGCCGTACTGCGAAAACCTAGAAAAACTTGTTCCATGTGGCCAATTAAAAGTTTTGTGATTGGTTAAAATGTAGATTCTGCTACAGTTTGTACATGAAGCAAAGAGACAATTCGGACAACAAAGTTTAGATTTAATTACGAAAAATTTTAATGCGTTTTTGTTTTGCCCAAGGGAACGCACACCACAAAATATTTGCATTTCTATATGCCAAGCTAAAGTTTTCCTTAAAAAAAAACTAAAACTTCAGTGAATTACTCTAATTAGATTATAACTGTCAAAAGTGAGTTCTTGGGCAGACCCGTGATTTCCAAAGTCCTTATAAGCTAACTGCCATTGCCATATTTCAATAAATATTGCCAGCAAAGTGTCATAATCGCATAAGTAAAATGAAATTGGCAACAACTTACATTCCAAGGCCCATTTGTAGAGCTCGTGCAGGAAATTGGCTGGCAGCTCGTCCTTTTCGTCGCGCATCAGCTCAATACTGCAGATGGTATAGAGTGTATGTATGAAGATTGCATAACGGCTTGGCTGCTTGGTTGCCTGGATGCTTAGACTCCGACTTACCGGCCCATAAACTCGCTGGCAATGTCATTTAGCGGCGGAATGTACTTCTTGGCCGTCTGCGGCTGCAGCAGGATGTGCTGCACCTCCTGCCTGAAGGCCTCCCACTTGGGTCCGTGCCTGGAGAACGAACGGAAAGTACAAAAAATGGGGTGGATGTGCACTCCGGTTGCCCGCCATAATATCCGTTATGTAAGCACATTACTTACACGCCAATTAGGCCGGCCACATCGCCAAAGAAATCGCGTCGCAGGTCGCCCTTGTAGTGGCGCAGTGAGGGCATCGACGGTCTGGGTTCACAGCAAATAAAGAGTGGGTTGTTGCAAAAAAAAGAAGAAAAAACATTGCAAGTACACAGAGAAAAATTATTAGTAATTTAAAGTATTGTAGCATTTTTTGTTTAGAATTAAAAACAATCAGTTCCTTTTACTCTTAAAAAAGGAGATATGAAACGATGATTAATTTGATATTATATGGTATAAATTTTAACTTGATATGCGGCATCTCAATTTAATATTCTTGCTCTAGGTCGAATTGACAGGATTGATTATTTTCGTTCCCACTCACGTAATTTAAGTCGTCATGTTGTTTCTTCCTCTCTTTTTTAAAGTTAGAGAATCTCCGAGAGAGAGTAATAAGCAAAATAATCTTATTTAATGTTATTTATAACGGTATGGAAAATTAATTGTTTAGTTTGCATTCTAAAAACTGCATTAAAAAATATTGAATTGTTATTTAATTAGAAATCAAATTTTAAGCTTTATTAACTCAAAAACATAGCAAATCATCTCTTTTTTGATGTACAGTTGCGAAAAAAATAATAGCACCACTTCGTCACAGGTTCTTAATATTAAAGAAATATGTGGAAAACGGGGATTTTTATATAAGAAGTGTTTTTTATTATCTTGATTAGTATTCCACCTATTTGAAAAAATTGATACGGATATCGAAAATATTGTCTACATATAATTTTTTCAGATTTTAAGAAAAAAAGTCAAAAAAAGGCCGAAAAAAATAATAGCACCACTTCCGTTTTCTTTAAATAAAACGTTACGATGCGCTAATATTCTTGTGTATAAAGGATATATTTTATGAGATTTGACTAAAACTAACTTCTCCTGATATCCAGACATCAAATTGATTACCATTTGGCAATACAAGGACATCTGGAAAATTTTCCAAGTCGGAAAAGAAAAATATTCAAAAAAGAAACATATTGGATGGAAAACGGTCATGAAAACCGGTTGGATTGGTTAGGTTTTGGATCATATTCATTAAGAATGGCATAAACTTTGAAGGATAACACAGAAAAACCGAGTCCTGGCCCAGTTTTCCTTCAAAAATGTTATATCACAAAGCACAAAGAATCTTATCAGGGCCGATACTAAACTAAAACACGTGCTTAAAATAATAGAGAATATTTTAATAGTTGGATAATGTTTCAATAAACAAATTTATAAAACATGCACTTAAAAAAAAATCCTATCCGAAATGCGAAACACATTTACAAGGGCATAGGGCTCGTCAAAAAAACTTACAAATGAATGCCCGCAAACTTATGAGAATGTGTGAAGGCAAAGTTAAATTGGGTAAGAAGAAATCCTTTTTATAAGTCATGTGTCTTCTAAACACCTAAAATGACCAAAAACATGGTACCAAAACATCCATTTATTGAGCATGGACCTAGTATTAACATAGGCTTGTTTTTCCTTCTTGGAGTAAGATCAATACGGATGAATACATCGTTCATGAATCATCCTATGATGTAATTAGTAATACGGTAGTAATTCGTAGCTTAAACTGAATACAAAATACTTCTTAAATGAATCTTTGACCAATAAAATCCGGCCAGGATCACGGTCAGGATAGCAAAGAAAGAGTTCGAAAGTACTCAGTCAGCAATATACAGTGACTTGTGTACTCGCTTGACCATAACACAACCAAAAATCTTCGAGTTTTTTTTTTAAAGACAGTTTATACAGTTAATCTAAAACGTCTTAAATCATTTCCGAACAAAATTTGAAAATATATCATGACTTTTGGGCCCCAATTCCTTTATAGGTAGGGTCCTGACTTGTTTAATCGATAGTAAGTCATTATATCCAAAAATCGCAAAAGATATTTACACTTTAAACTTAGATTTACTTGTTAGCTACCGCCAACTAAAGATTAAGTTACCCATTTGTCATTTTTCTACCTTTTATTCTATTTTTTGGAGAAGTGGTGCTATTTTTTTTTTCGTACGTTTTTCCAGGTTTGCATAGATTTTCTTAAATAAGTCCAGAAACCTTTTATAAAGCTAACATTTTTTTTCATATTCAAATTATGTTTAGTCTTACTATTTAAAACCCGTTTTGAAAAGTTAAAAATGTTAAAAAATGTGAGTAGGGTGACTAGTTAACATTTTTTTTGGGTTAGTGGTGCTATTATTTTTTTCACAGCTGTAGGTCCAGCTAAATATCCCATTTATTTTGGTACAAAAATATCCCGATATAATCCCCAATTTTCCTCTTTTTTCCCTGTATAAGAACTTCAGTCAGTGTATGAGCCACCCAGCCGCCCTCTTTGAGGTCGCTTGCCCTTGCGTGCAGACAGACCGGCGACGACAACATCAAACACAAATTCATACCAAAGCCCACACAAAATGAAGCGATTTCGCTGCTTCTCCTTGTTCCTAGACCCCTTGGTACAAGTGTACATATATACCAAACTCGTATTTGCATTATATTTGTCTACTCGCATGTCACAGAACAAATAAAAGAAGCGTATTTATTGGCTTTTGTTTTATGCACCACCCTGTCCCACAACTTAGCCAACAATTCGAAGCATTTGACTCGGCTTGACTGTTGTTTTTCAATTCCTACTGACATTGGGTTGCCCTAGGCAACAAAATGCTCAATTAAATGCGAGATTTAAGTGTAAATATGTAAAATTGCTGTGTTTTAAAACGTCAAGAAAGCCCAACCCTGAAGTCTCTATGAAATAAGTATATTCCCCCCGTCGCATTATGCAAATTTTGGTACTAGCAGACAGTTGTGAGGAACGTAATAGTTTAAGAATAGGCAAACAAGAATGAAGTCATGGCAGTTACATTCCGGTTTCTACTTTCCAATCTTTCACTCGAGTTCAATTTCAAATTTAAGAAAATTGTAAATGTATTATTCATGTCCCAAAATAAGAATATTAAAATAGGTTGATTATAATTTTAAAACAATTCTTTATTTCACATATGCTTTATAGCTCTTAAGTTTTCTAAAATCGTATGTTTATAGCATTTGTTGAAAAGAAAATAGCCTTTCTCTGTGTATTTAAACGCTAAAGATAAACAAGCTTGTTTGACTGAATATTTGAAGCCAGATCTGAAGTGACGTCTTTTGCATGTTAAACACTTTACCGGGAATCCCAAGAAGCTCTCTGTTTACAAGCTTGTAACCTAAAATTGACCCCAAGATTGTCACGATCCGAACTCTTGGCATAAAGCCCTCAAATACTTTTTTCCGAGTTAGATATTCCCACACACGAAACGGCGTTTCTCTCGGAATTTTATGGACCTCGTAAAAAAGTCAACAAAGCCGACGCCTCTGGTACATATCTTCATCAATCAGCCGGTCAGTCGGTCTGTCAGTCAGTCAGTCAGTCAGTTAGTAAATTCGTGAGTTAGTGAGCAGTAGTTAGGCTTCACACTTCTGCGCCGGCAGATGGTTCATTCATCAATCTGTCTGCCGGCCAACGAGCAAACGAGCCAACATTACGTTAATGTTGTCTCATGTCCAATCTATTAGCGATTCTTTTCAGTCGTTTTAATGATGACTTGCCAAATGTGCTAGCCAAATCCCAACAATGGAGTGTTTGGCTTTTTTGCAGCGTCTGCGATTCGCCATCGATCCGTGTTGTTGTCCATAAACTACACAAACTATTGAAAACATAAACGTAACTTGTTAAATTTGGTTCATGGCCACGGCTATGATCGCAGATATGTCCGAATGATAGGGAAAGGCGGAGAAAAGAAAGCTTATAAAAGTTATGGACACGCCAGCGATCTGTGTGACTTTCGTTTTGTTTGTTTTTTCCTTCATCATTTCGGTCAGTTTTATTTATTTCTATGATGCAAAAAAAAAAATCGCTTGTCGGTCTGTGTGAATAGTTTGGATTGTTTGGTTTGGTTTTATTTCGGTTGGATCTCGCGTTGCTAGGCCTACGGATCGGATAGCCGGTCGAATGAGAAGTGAAAGTCTCAACTAATTTCAATTTAATGGTTTCTTTTTATCACGCGCAAAAACTGTAATCTTGATGACATATTTTCGGGTGGCGAATTAATATTCCAAATTATTGAATTTTAAGTGGCAGTACCTATTATGCCTCCTAAGCATTGTATTTTTTATGGTAATACATATTTTTGGTTACAGAACCATATTTATCGGTAGAGTGAATATTATAAAATTTTTATTTCACCTCATATTTGTACAAAATCCCTGATAGCCTTGAATACAGGCGTTTATAATTTGATTTTTTAAGGTAGTTCTGATACAGGGAAAAGGGCAATACCAAGCAAATGTGTCGCATGGTGTAAAACTCATCACGGCACTATTTTCCGTATCTGTCCTTCCGATTCCAATCTGTCACAATATTTTCACACATACCCGTTTAATCCGCATTCCCAGGCGCAATCGCCATTTTCTGCCTTCGTTAGTTAATAATTTAATTACGGGCTGCATTCATTCAATATGCGCATAAATAAACAGGAATTGCATTTGCATTGGGGAGGCAAAAGGAGGAGGAAAAACATTGGGCCGGTTGGAATCGCCCATGCATGACTGACTTTGCTGTGGATATATGTATGTATGTAATGTACCTACATATATGCTATGCATATGTGCGTGGGCTTTAGCATGTGTAAGGGGGATTACTGGTAATTCAGACCAAGTGCAGCCATGCAGGACATAACCATAATCTTGGGTTAACAACATATTTAATGGACTTGTTTAAACCTTTTAGATGGTTAAAAAACCCCGGGTCATGTAAAGGTTATTTAAACTATATAACAAAAGTTTCGAGAAGCGAGAGAACCAACTCATAGTTTAATGCAAAATCAATAATATAATGTACAGTATGTAACTGGAATTATATAACCCAATCTCAGCCTCTTTCCCACGCCTTATAAACAATCATACTGAACTGACATGTCACACGCGTCGTATACGCAATGCATCATAGAAGCAATGGCTGATTAATCACTCACCGGTGCGGCATTGTCTCCTCCTTCTTGAATATGTTTCGAATCTCATCGCCATCGAAGACGAATAGCAGGTCTGGATGACCAATCAGCCCACCCACCTTGGCCATCTTCCCATAGTTTACGTGCAGTTCATTCATAACCTTGTCCAAGTCGCTGATCTTATACGTTCCTACCAGTGAGAAGCGTTCGTTAGTTTTCCTTGGCGGAATTCCCCGGAAGCCTGCTGAGGACTCACCAATTAGTGGGGCAAAGCGCCAGGAGTTGCCAATCAGCGGTAAGGGATATGGACCCGGCACTTCCGAGTAGGGACGCACTGCAGCCGAGGAGGAGGAAGTGGTGCTCTCTGCTGGTAATGCGGTTGTCGTAGCCTTAGTTGTTGCTGCTGTCAGGGATTGTTGGCTGTCAATTAGTGCAAATTGTATACAGTGAAATAAGTCTTCAAATGTAGGTTTTTATTTGAACTTTCTTTTGACTATTCTTTCTTTCTGAACTCAAATGTTTTAACATTTTTATTATTATTGTATTAAACTAAAAAAACTCACTTATTTTAATTCAAAATGTAGTCAAGTTATCACCATATTAACTGATTTTAAAAGTTCTTAAAAATGCGAAAACAGCTGCTATAAATATTAAATCAAATATTTAATACTTTCAAATTAATAAGTTACTTTTAAAATATATCAAAAGATGTTTAGCAAGCTATCCAATTATTTAATAGGCCCATTTCATGTCTCTTGCCTAAATTTAAAGTAGGCTTTAAAGCTTTTCATAAATTTAACAGGCGGACGAGAAAGTGGACCTTAATTCAATATGATCTTAGTGGAAATCAATTACAAATATAGTAAATAATCCAAATCCATGTAGTCCAACAGTTAAGACGTTAAGGTAAAGAAACGAGTAATGACAAAATCCGTTTTTTTTTCTGTGTAGAGAGTCAAGGAATTGGTGTGAGAAAATCACGAACCTGACATTTAATTTCTTCAGATTTGCCGACTCTCCCGCTCGCAGTCGCTGCATTGCAATTGATTTTTCAATTTCCGTCGCCACGCCCACTCCGCTGCTGGGTGGCGACACCGGCCCACCGCCCCCGGAATGCGGCAATATGGTGGTGCTGGAGGTGGAGCGCCTCATCAGCGCAATGGATGTTTTGCGTAAGCCCGACATCTTGGACGTCCTGTTCTGTTCTGTTGGGAAAAGTATTATGTAAAAAGTTGAGCAACTCTGGGCAATCTGCTGCCGCCGGCAAACTAAATTGCGTATTTATGCTGATTCTCGAAGTGTTTCTTCCCGGCGGCGAAACTTTTGATGCATTTCCAAGTAGACTGCCCGGGAAAATCAATCAATGTAAAATAAAGGCAACTCGCGTCTATTATTCTCATCGAGTTAACCCACAGAACTCGCAGACTGGGGAGCTGAAAGGTGTTTGGTTGGAGTGCAAATATTATGGCCCCACTCGCTTATAGCTTATAGCTTATAGCCATATTCATTTTAACTTTCAGCAATGACAGCACTTAGTTCGAGTTAGTTGCAAAACAAAACCAAGCAAACAATCGACGATTGTCCCTTGTCCTCGGAGCTCGCAACTCGGATCTCGGGGGAGCACTCATGTTAAATGGGGGGTCGGTTGGCAGGGGGACTCCCATTTGTCGGCAGACTTAGACTCGGTGCGTCCCATTTTATGGTCGCTGCCAATAATCAAGTCGGAGTTAGCTAGCGTTAAATTGAGCACAACTACAAGCACTCGTGAAATGTGAATTCAAACAAAGAAACACACAAATTGAAGAGTTATTGAAGTAGCGCTGAAGCAGCTGAGGGCCAAATCAACCCTGGCCAAAGTCTTGTTGGTTGTAAGTTGAGTGAAGCCGAAGCCTCGCATGAGCAAAGAATTGGAAGGGAGGCAATAGAAGTTCAACATTATTTGTTAAAGGTTTGAAAACTTTTCAATATGGGTAAACAGCTATTCTCTGTGCTCAAAAAACTTCTTAAGTTGCTTGCCATTTGTGTTAAATGCAAACTTAAAGTATGTTAGCTTTCATAATTCTAACGAAATCAAGTGTATTTAATTTTGTTAATTAACTAGACTTAGACTTCATAACTCAATGGCTTTGAAGGCTTCTGGTCTTTCTACACACAATAAAAACAAGCCAGTAAAGTTGATATTAGGCAAAGCCAATACCATTTTATTTTTATCAAATTCATGTTAAGGCCTTGCTCGAAAGGGTACTTCCTAAACGGGTCAGTAGTTCAAAAGACTTGTCAGCCATAAAAACATATTTCACAACTTCCAAATGCTCAAAAAGTCAAAGCTCGATGGTGGTAGCCTTTTTAGTTGACTATGGTTTGGCTTTAATTTTCCCCCATTTTTCCGGCTGTATACAAACAGTGTTCTCCACCCAAAAGGCATACACACGCATTTAATATAAAGAGCATTCCTACCCCGCAGGCAGAAAAACTGGCAGCCAGGCAAGATTGCTCATACGCCGCGTAAGCCATCGAACAATGGTGGCAGTGGCACTTTTGCTGCCTGACTTCTTGTGCGCCTGCTCCCCGAAGGCAATATAATTTAAATGCCGAAAATTTGATGGAACAGAAATCTGCTCACCCAAATCCAGAAAGTTAGCCGAGCTGCCACCCGTTTTTCTCATTCTCTTTTTCTTTCTCTTTTTATTTTTTCCTTTATTTCTTGTGTACACTCGTGTGGCACAATGGCAGCGGAGCGGCTTATCCTTGCCCTTGTCGCACAAGCGGCGACCTTGAGCTCTCGAGCGGTAGCAACAACAGGGACAACAACTATCTGGGAATGCCAGCGCGGTTTTATCACCCAGGCGGTTATAATGAACTTGAGTGATAATCCTAGCGCCTGCGAGTAATGTAGGAGAAATGTCAAGCAGCCACTTGTCGTTGACTTTTATGGCCATTGTTCCGAAATAGAGGTGGTGTGGGCAGGGGGAGGCCATCTGCTCTCCGGGCCGCATTTTCCTTACACTCGAATAATTGCGAAATTGAAAGGAATTCTATTAGCATTCAGCTGCTAAATGAGCAAAGGTGGTCGAAAAATCCCGGCCGATTATGTCACACACTGCGACTTGACTGCTTTGCAAATCACTGGCCTATTGGTTTTTGACTAGCCCTTCGAGGTGTGGCCAAAAACCATATTTAAATTTGCTTTCACGCTGCCAGTTGCTCAAGTCCCGAAGAGCAACTAGTTTAGCCAGCTTGCTTAATTTTTCTGGGAAAATGCCTCTCGGAAAACGCACTTCCAACACTTTAATTTGTATTTCATGCGAATAATTGACTTTTCTTGGGAAATTATTAATCTTTCTTGCATATTTTTATTTATTTCCCACATTTAAAATTATTATCTCGCTTTTACAGATTTTTTTATCCGTTCAATATTTTTGTGACGCCTTTCAAAGACTCCAATTAAATACTTTTTCCCCGTTTTCCTCTCAATATTTTTCCCGATATAATTAAATTGGCCTTTCACGCTAAACGTTGATTTCTTTGACAGCCAGCTTGACTGAATGCTTTTCAAAGTGCAACTAGTTTACGTGACACGCCCAAATTGCACTGGGAAAACACCTCTCGGGAAAACTCACTTGAACGTTTGCTTTTATTTATTCGCCAAATAGTTTTTCCCGGCCTGCCACGCCAGTTGGTTGGGTTTCGAGATTGGGTTTCAATCAACTTGTTGCCGATTTAGTTTTAGTTTTAATTTATTTGCGGTGTGTCTCGGTTTTAAAGAAAAACACTTTCAAGCCCCGTTTGTGCACAATTAAAAACAGCTTTGGATGCCTTTTGTTGTGTGGATTTCTATTGTTTCTTTGGCCAATTTCCCACTCGTTCACAAGCACTCGAAAAGTCGGGGAGATTTGCCAGGTCTTTTGTCACGCAACGCGAAGTTTATATGTGGTACACTGGAATCCCAGACTTGAAACAGAAACCAAAACCGAAACCGAAACCGAAACCGAGAGCTATGGATGGAGCTCCCGAGTCTTGAGTTGTTGCCTCGTAGACCAACCGCGACGCACTAAACGCGATCGCCGGGCTTCTTAGTCTACTTATACGCTATAGGCTATGGGCTATGGGCTACCTCCAACTGCTGATCGGCAAGCTCTCGATGTTTTTTTTTGCTTTTTGTCGACTTTTGGCGCGCTTTTGTTGGTTTTGTCACTTAAGATATTTGTGCTAATTGCTGCCCCTGCTGCTGCAGCTGACTTTATTACTCTTTCTAGCCCAGAAACTAGTCGGCTTCTGTTATTATAAATAACGCAATTTTCCAAATGAAACTGAAAGTGCCTAATAATCCTAATCAAAAAGCAAAAGTTTGTGCTAATATATAACGGTTTACTCCCTTGATTGACATTAATGAGGGGCCTGACGAGGTTCGGATGGGGTTTGAGCTTGCGTTTGCGTTTGAGGGTTATGTAAAATAAATAAATTATTATAAAACGCTGCCGAAACTAACGACCCATTTGCTTGGCTAAATTGCACGCAAATCGCTTAATTGAAAAGGCCATAAAAGCTGGTAAAACAATAGGCAGAGGAAGCCGGCAGATAAATTTCGCATGATGGCTTTTCTCATCTCGCTTAAGGTGGCCAATGGGTTAATAAGATATTGCATTTAGTTCAGGTATGGAAGGTAATTTATTTAATAGAAATAATCTATAATTCATATTCGGGTCCATACAATCGGTTTTATTCTTTGATAATGTTAAATACTGCTTGAATTAAAAAGATAATGCACGTTTTCAAAAAAAACGTTTTCACCCAAAACCAATGTTGACTTGATATGCTCGAAATGTAAGAAACATGTTTTAAGTAGGCAAGTTCGAATTTCTAATGTGGGTCCCTTCCACTCATGTAAGTTTAAGCGCTATCCGACTCAATTTCGAATTGAGAGAATTGGTTATTCACTCTCCCACTCACTTGATCTAAGTCGCCATATTGCTTATTGCCGTCTTTTTCGAAGTCAGAAAATCTCCGAGAGAGAGAAATGAGTATTGCATGGTAAAAACGATATGCACATAAATACCATACGTTTGACATGCGCATATCGATTTGATCCTGAAGTTTTTTTGTGTGTAAGGAATGTTCTAAGCCCCAGTAGTAGTTACCTATTAAAAGGCTTTCTCCAATTCTGGTATTTAATTAAAGCAAAGTTAATTTTTCTATCTTTAGCTCACTTTCCCTCGCACTCTGTTGATAACGTTTATGATCTACTTTCAAGAAACCACAACTTAGCCACTTGCCACACATTGCAACACATTTTCCGGGCTTACAAATTACAGCTGCATGTGTGTCTGCGGTTTTCGGATCGGTAAACAGAAAAGAAAACTTTTATGATGGACATGTTAAATAAGATCTCCGCCTGGGCCAAGTGCTAACCAAGCGGTTGCCCAATCGGATCCGTTGGCAGGCAGTCAATTAACGTTTGTCTAAGAAATTGTAACGAATATTGGGCATTAGCTTTGATTATGCAGTTTGCCCCAGCCGCCAAACTTTTCCGCATGAAAGGTGACGGTGGCGGTTGCGGTTATGCCAGGCGAGCATGACTGGGCCAATTTCCTTTTGGCCAACCTGCAGAAGGGGAGTCGCCAGATGGGTCCAGGCCCTCTCTTGGGGTAATGCCAACTTTGGCCAACTTGTTGGGCAATTGTGCGTGTAATTTGGGCGAAAACCAGTTGACCAATGCATCCGATTTCGGCAAGACCAAGAGCAAGTCAACCGGAGATTGATGCGATAACAAGCGCGCAGATTCCTCGGCCAGCCTCAAAAACTATTTACGACCTGTCCGAACCTGGGCAACAAATGAAATTAGCCGCCTCCCAGCCTCTCAGCCCTTTGTTTTTGAAGGCATTGCGTGCCTGACGTTAATTACGGCCCAAAAACACATATAACTGGCCACCGGGCCCCTCTGCGATGACCTACTTGTTGACGCTCTTACTCCCGACCACGCAGTCTCTGTATCTGTATCTGTGCATCTCCAGCTGTATCTGTATCTGACAGATGCTTTGGTTGGGTGACGGTTACATAACCGGCAAATAAAACTAATTACAAATATGGGTTGTATGCACGGAAATTAGAACCAGAACAAGTCACGGAAATGGGAATCGTTTTGTATGGCTAGTTCCTGCAGGGAGAAATCGTTTGCATAGCCAAGAAATGTGAGTGTGTGTGTGGGTATGTGGAAGCTTTTCCCCATTTCCCATTTTCCCTTTGGTCTCGACACGCGCGCAGGTTTTTTGTTTTTAATTGTTTGCTCAGCGCTTTGGTCTGCGCCTTAATTGTTTGCTCAAGACTTGGCAGATACGGGCGGAAAATTGAGAATGGTTGGGTTTTCCGGAATGGGGGGTGGGGTGGGCAAACATTTGTCTGGTCAAGCGATGTGTGATGGGATATGGATATGGAATTCTTTGGCTTCTGGACTGTAACACTGTGTTCTTGTCCTATTTCCTTGCAGTTTCCTGGACGATTTGGATCGGTTAGGCGCCAAGGACTACCAGCCAACTGAACAGGATATCTTGCGAACTCGCGTCAAGACCACTGGCATCGTTGAGGTCCACTTCTCCTTCAAAAACCTCAACTTTAAGTGAGTAACCACATATATGATATCCGAGGTACCTTCTTTTACTCATGTCATCGCCAAAACCCATAGATTGTTTGACGTGGGCGGCCAGCGTTCGGAGCGCAAGAAATGGATACACTGCTTCGAGGATGTTACTGCGATCATTTTCTGCGTGGCCATGTCTGAGTACGATCAGGTCTTGCATGAGGATGAAACCACGGTAGGATTGGGTTAAACCAACTGTTAATAAAAACATTTTGACTAGTTTGTCCTGATAATCGTAATATCAAGCTTATATTACCATTTGCTTACTTATATTAGTACATTTTAATTTATTTTAAAATGCTATTAGAACTAATCATTAATGAATGCTTAATAAATAGACTTACAATAACCATATTTCGAAATTATGCTTTATATATTTGTTTTAATAACCATTTTTAATTTAACCATATTTAACAAAAAATCCAAAAAAAATATTTGTGCACGAGGATTAACGCTTTTACACATATATTTTATGCTAGCTTTTGTATATATTTCTAAAACTTAAATTACTCTATTTCCTCTTAAAGAACCGCATGCAAGAGTCGCTGAAACTATTTGACTCGATCTGTAACAACAAATGGTTCACGGACACCTCGATCATCCTGTTCCTGAACAAGAAGGATCTGTTCGAGGAGAAGATTCGCAAGAGTCCCCTGACAATTTGCTTCCCCGAGTACACAGGTGAGTGATCTGTGCACTTCCTCATCCGGACTGGTTTATAATGCTATTTTTCGGACGTTCCTAGGTGGACAGGAGTACGGCGAGGCGGCTGCTTATATTCAGGCTCAATTTGAAGCGAAAAACAAATCAACCTCAAAAGAAATCTACTGCCACATGACGTGTGCCACAGATACCAACAACATTCAGTTTGTATTCGATGCTGTCACCGATGTCATCATAGCAAACAACCTGCGCGGCTGTGGACTGTACTAAGGAGGATTCCGGAGCCGGATCCCGATATGATGAAGATAACGACGATGACGATGATGTGGAGCAGAATGGGGGCGTTAGCAGGGAACACCGTAACGGTATTAAAGAGCAGCGCGGGAGCACAACAACCCACCAGCATTGATCAAAAACCAAACAATTTAAGAGCAGATGATAAAACCAACCAACCGCAACCACACAGAAAACATAGGACACTGAACACTGAACAAGCAAAGCCCAAAGAACTTTTATTTGTTTAACAAAAAACGACGGACAGCGGACGGACAAACGGACTAACGGACGGACGAAAGTCCCGGATGGATGATGTATGGGGAATAGGCGACGCGTACATTACATAATATCGATAATATTGATGCAGATACACACAATGCTAATGATGATCAGGGCGACCATGATAATGAGGCAGTAGGCAGCACGCGAGAGAAGTCACGTTTGAAAAAGGCAGTTGATTGAAAGGCATTTCCTATATACATACATATACAAACACATACATATGCATTATGCAAAGCCACATGTACGACATGACACTAACACACTCACACGACATAGACAAGCGCCAGCATTGCATATAGTTGTTGTTTGGTCTGAATAATTTTTATAGAATTTCATAATTTATGTGTAGTTTAGTTTCCTCATGTATTTATTAAACAAAAACCAAACGAGCGTATATCTACATATACCGCATATATATATACATACACTTCTATACATATATATATATATATATAAATATTATATATTAAATGTTTCCTGTTGCAATCTCTCTTTGAAATTATTCATGCCATCAACGCTCTGCATTTGTCATGCTTGTTTAGACTTAAGTTCGAAAGTTTCGACAAAATCCAGCGGCAAAGGAAATAATAATATGTATTAATTTGATAGCGTGTCAGCGTGTGGGCTAAAGTAAATATTATATAACAAACCAAAAAACCAAAACAAACGAGGAAAAGAAAACACAAAATATGGAAGGCAAATCTTTAACGTTTAAGTCTAATTTAAAGATAAATGAAACAAAAACGGATATAAAACTCTATCTATTGTATTTACAAGAACAAAAACGAAGCAAAACTAAACTAAAACTAAAATCCAGATAAGAGTCAAGTAAAGCAAAGCATATGTGGCCACTTACTAACTTATGTAAAGAGCAGCAGTAGCAGCAGCCATCAATGATTGATTGATTGATACATTTCAATGTAAATTGTAATTTGTTGAATTTACGTGTATAGAAGAAGTTTAGCTGGCAACACACAAACAGAAACACAAACACACACAAACTGGACACAAAGTAACTATTATTTACTTCACTTAACGAGCTGATTTGTTGTAATTTACAATGATTTGTGGCATTTATACGAGGAACAAGGCAAATCAGCGAAGATCAAAACAGAATTCAACTTTGGCGGCGCACAAAAGCATGCTATATATTTTTGCCATATCTACGCACAGACCCACACACAAAAAATATGAATCAAAATGAATGGAACGCAGAACTCAAATCTCCCACAATGAAACTAAGGATTGTATGTAATAATATAATAATTTATAAATTCTACTTTTAATGATAAACATCTTCATACATGTACCTATATGTATGTGACTGTATCTAGCGAATGGCATTTAACCCCGAGTATGTTGAAATGTTTGATTAGACTTATTATTATAATTATTATGTATATGCTTTGTATGTATGTATTTTGTGCATTTTGATTTTACACAACGATTTAGCTGCAATGAATTTATATTGTTATTTTTATAGTATTTCTTTTGTATCTGCCCAGCCTTCTCCTCTTCCTAGTCCTCCTCCTCTACGGAAATCTCCTCATTTGTGCTCTTGCTCTAGTTGGACGGAAATCCATTTATGTTTTATAGTTTTTAAGCCTAATTTATGTAAACGCACACAAACACACACAACTTAAACATCAACTAAGTAAGTTTATTAGCGAAATAAATATTATTTGACATTCAACAAAAAGTAAGGACAATTTGCAAGATGCTTTACGAAATCGTTTCGATTTTTTTGGCTACCCCAGCAGATCCAGTGAAACTTTTCAAAAGTTGTGTTGGCCACTAAATCCGTACAATTCCTAGATTTTAAACACCGATCAGCGAACATTCACTTCTAAGCATTTACTTAGGTCAGCCAACACTTTCCCATTTCCATGACCCCTCCACCCAACCCCCTCTACTATATCCTTGCCCAACCAAATACTGTAATATTTAATACGTATGTATTTTCCATTCAACTTGTAAAATTCTACCAAAAAGATAAAAAAAAACAAAAACGCAAAAACCATTTTCAAATAAAACTATTTATTCAAAAACAAAAACCAACAGCCATTTTGTTATTTTGTTATCGTTTCATGATTTTCTTACAGCCAGCGAAATGTATTGCATGAAATAGATTACGTTGTTGCTGCTGGCTTCGAGTTGGGGTAACAAACAGCAGATGATCAGATATATTGTCACTTGACCAGCAATGCAGAAGATCAAGAACAAAGAGTTCAATAATTGTATGTAACTATAAATAAATACCAAATCGATATATTTATTGACAATTTAATTAAGCCACAAACAAGAAAGTTATTCATTTACCTTCGAGACAAAGTAAACAAGGTCGGTCTATATATACATATAAATTTAAACAAATATATTTAGTAAAGGGAGATCAACAAATTGCTACAAACAACCATACATATGTACTATATTTTTCTCGTAAATAATTATTACTCGAAATACTCATACGGTAGCGACTATAATTTACCTCCTCAGCGTCGCTCGACTTTTGAATCAACCGAGATCGCAAAACTAAATAAATAAAGCAACCAGCATTCAAGTAATAGCAACATTCGTTCATATAGTACATCATAGTGTTAACCGCAGTATATCGACTAAACTTTTTGCATATTTTCAATACTAAACGGAATAGAGTCGAACGGAAAAGGAATCAAACATAATTCATATTTTTCTAAAGCTCATACACCTCTTTGCTCCACACACACCCGCATAAGTCATGAAAACGCAAGTCGCACCACTACTAAAATTACTTTAATAGCAGTTAAAACATTTATAAGTGAAATCCATAAAGAGCTAAAAAAATACAAAGTTAATGTTAATTAACTCGAATCAAATGTCAGAGGACATTCAGACACACGATTTTTTCTAAGTGGCGAAAACAAATCTTTGGGATTTTAAAAGGAACTGGAGGAAAGTAAAGGTGGCACGTGGAATCAAGATTATAGGTTAGACAAAGTTTAGACATTGTATCTAATCTAATTTGTAGCCTAATTCAAAATGCTTTGGTTGTCCCATGCAGCAGATCAGATTTGTTTAACTTGTATATGGCAAAACTATTTATATACTTATAATAACGTATGTGGAAATATAATTCTCCTCAATTCTTGAGCTCCTTTTCTCTCTCTAATGACCACGTGGATAATGTGTAGCTAATGGCCCATGGAACAGTTTTAAAACGAGATTAAATCGAGCCACAGAATCTAACTGAGCTCGAAAATGATGAATGAATTTGAATCGTTGAATTAAAAATTTAAAATAATATATAAAACATAAAAGTAATGATATAAAACTGAAATAACAAAACCAAAATGTTTGTATGTAAAAGAAACTCAAAACGTTAGAGATCATCTACAATTTAAATAAATATAAATAAATCCAATACATGTTTCCTGTTTTTTATTCACAGCAAAATCAGACTGGAGTATCAAAACATTTTTTGGCAAAGGTTTTAGAAACATCAATTATCATTTTTTCAAAATTCAGCCTAAATTTATAAAAAGGGATACCTTTTTGGGCGGACATTTTTTTCTCATTTGGACCTTTTTCATTGTCGATTTTTCCAAAATAAAGTCTCTGTGCGAAACCAAGGGACAATCAATGTGTGTATGTATGTCTAAACTTGATGTCAGGTAGAAACAACCCACTGCAAGCATGTCTAATCTAATGTTTCCTTCTTTGGGTAGACTCGACCACTTTTTTCATATCTCTTATAAAATGACTATTTTGACAGGTAGGCACCCAAACACCCATTCCATATGGCAGTAACTACCACTTATGACGCAGCTGTACATTTTCCGCGGTGATCCTTTTCAAACTCCTCCTTCTTTTAAACTTGAAATACGAACAGAAGCAATGAACATTTCTCTAAGCGTTGTCTTGCGTTTTATTTTGGAATTGTTAATAAAGGAATCCCAATATATATATTTTTGTATTTTTATGGGGTAACCTTAAAATGCCTTAACATCATAAGCAGTTTTAGGAATTCCTCTATTATAAATCGGTTACGACTAATCTATTGCATTGTTTACTCTAACAGTTTCTTTTTCGATTTGGGCGTGGAGATTGTTCGCAAGGACACCCGTCGCGGAGTTTTGTTATTGGGCGTTGATGGTGTTGATTCCGTCGCCTTGGCAGGGGTTTCCTCCTGCGTATCCTCGTAGACCAGGCGAATATCCTCCGTTCGCTCGCAGGTAACCTCGCTGGCTTCAATAACTGCAGGCTTCGTTTCCGTCTTCTTGGCCTCCGTCAAAAGATCTTGCGAATCCTTCTTTGTCGTTGGCAGAGGTGTGACGCCCTCCTCGAGGGGCCAGGCATCCATGGCCTCCTCCATTGGAACCACAGGCGAGTTGACGGGCATTTCGACGAGTACGCGGGGAGTTCGCCGCACGGCGATGGGAGTGGCTTGCTTGGCGGGTTGGCTTTTCGGCGTAAGGTTGAAGTTGCTGGAACTTCCGGGAGTTCGGGGCTGGCGGCGCACTTGAATGGGCGTAGCAGGGCGGGACTTTTTCTCGGGCGACTCGAACTTTTCATCTGAACTGATGATCTCCTTGTCGATAACCGGAATCACTCCAAGCGCCGGCTGTGACGTCTCTGTTGGAGGCACTGCCTCTGTACTGATCTTTCGCTTTACAGGTGATGCTTCTACTTTCGGTGCCTTTGAAGATGTGGCCTCAATGTCTTCTTTAGGCTTGGACAGTTCGACTCCCTCGCCATCTTCCGGCTTACGCGGAGCTCTGCGTATTGAAATCGGCGTGGGCGTTGTCGTAACTTTTCGCGGCGAACGACGGAAGGCAATGGGTGTGGGCTTAACCTCGCTCTTATTCTTCGTTTTGGGACTGTTGGAGTTGGACGAGCTCGCGCTGTGCATGGATGAATCATTTTCAGCATCCGGATCGGTTTCGCCCTCCTCTTTGATTCCCGATCCTGCAGCCTTCCTATTTGTATTCGGTTTGGTCTTCTCCTGCAGAGGTTTCCTTGTGGCTGCCACCTCATCCGACGATGCCTTGCGGAGCTTGTGCTTTTTCCTCTTCGGAAGCGGTACATTTTCTGAAGATTTCAGGGCAGCGCTCAGCACTGCATCCATCTCCTCGTAGCGCTCGCCCAGTTCATTCGGCTCGAAGGTCACCAGCGAGCAGAAACCATCGGTGCTGGACACGATTAGGACAGTTCCATCACTTGACCAGGTCAGATCCGTGAGCCTGGAGTAGTGAATTTTGGAGATAATGGCGAAGGGCACCGATTGCTGGGTGTCGTAGAAGAACACAGCGTTCTTTGTGGCCACGGCATAGATCATGCGGTAGGGCAGCGAAATGATAGGCGGATTCTTCTCCGCATTGTACGGTCTCAGACGGTACAGAACCGGAGAGCAGCGCACGGCCACCGCGTATTCGTTGGGGAAGGGCAGCACAAAGGCGGGTTTCGATAGATCGTAGCGACTGAATCCATAGGTGGTGTTTATGGGCTTCGCCACGCCGTCGTAGTCGGTGATCCCCGAAGGCGTAAGGAGCAGCTTTCCATCGGGGGTGAAGCACAGGCGGCGGAAGAAGGTCGGCAGGGTGCCGTCATGATACAGCCGTACGATCTTGCCGTGCAGCTCGTGGCCCTCTTTCACTGGGAATCCGCACTTGCTGACCCGGTGGAGCACCCGCTTGGTGTTGGCATCAAATATGCGCATTTGCCTGTAAGAAAAATACGTTTCTTTAGTTTTCACGGGACTCTTGTTCTGGCTGAACAGCCTACCTGTCGGTGCTCATGGTGGCAATGTACTGGTTGCAGGGATCCCAGGCCACGCCCTGCACGTAACCCTTGTGATCATCGAGAATGGCCAGTGACTTGCCCTTGTGGACGTCCCACAGCATCGCGGTGTTGTCCACCGACCCGGTGACCAGGAACTGGGAGTTGGGCGCCCAGCTGAGGTCGTAGATATCCTCGCGATGGCCGCGCAGCACCTTCAGCGTCATCCAGACCTCCTTGTCCTGCTCGCTGCATCCGTCGGCGTCCACAATGTTGACTACTTCGTGGTCGGCCTTCTGTTTCCAGATGAAGACCACACTCTCGTCGTCGCCAGAGGCCAGGAGTTCTCCGTTGGGGGACCAGCGCACCGTGTTGACGGCACGCTGATGCCGCGACAGATCGGCGGCCAGCTCCACATCCACGCCCTCGGCGTCATCACTGCGATTCACATACCAAATGAGGACATGGGCATCGGTGCCACCGGAGGCAAGGCGGCAGATCGTCGGGGAACGCAGTCCCTGGCCATTTTGCTGTATATCCACACTCAGGACGGGATCGCGGTTGTGCCACGAGATCTCGGGTATCTTGCACTTCATCCTGTTTACTTTATTGGCCTGTGTTGACTGCTTGAAGTGCGAAAAATTATTTTATGCGGCAGAATTCGCGCCTAAAAGTGTGACCATCGGTCATCGGAATACCACAGGAATATGTCATCGATTGGTGTTATCGATGGGAAGAGCGATAGGTTGGCGAAACCAGGGCTGCACTAGCACTTTGACAATGGTAAACAAAAGTTGGTGATTCTGATTTTACCCGGATTTAACTGAATTTATCGTGTAATTCACAGTCTGTAACGCTGCACACCGACGTTGGTGACCTCAAAATAGAGCTCTTCTGCGATGCCTGTCCCAAGGCCTGCGAAAATTTCCTCGCACTGTGCGCCAGCGATTATTACAGCGGATGCGTCTTCATCCGGAACATAAAGGGATTTATTGTGCAAACCGGCGATCCTACGAACACTGGAAAAAATGGGCAGTCCATTTGGGGTCAGAAGTTCGACGACGAGTTCAAGGAAACCGTCAAGGTGAGCGGCTTGTGAAGATTTCACAAGGAAACTATTTCTTACTCGGGCCACGCCGGTTGTCTGTAGTACCCTGTATTCTTCGACTCGAGGGAGGGAGGAATTTTATGTTATAGGATAATTTTCAAAGCAGAATTTTGAATATTAAAGAATTCCTATAAAATTTATAATATAAATAGATTTTCAATTCCTAAAAATAAATACTTTTTAAATTTTCTTTGATGGATTCGATAAATTTTAATTCGTTACGAATTCTCAAGTTAAACTGCGTTTTCTAAAAAGTTTCCCGACACAAGGTTTCTTAGCAGAAGGACTTAACTACTGCCGTTAAGTCCGCAGCTCTATATTTTTACGTTGTATGGCTATTTTTTTTTTGTACATTTTCGCCACTTTCAAGATATCTAATTTTTAATTTAAGGTAACCCCAATTATATTTCCAACGAGTACAATTCTTACATGTTTAAGCTAAGAATTTGCACAACTAATTACTTACTGATATTATGCACATATGTTAATCTTATAATTTTACCACCATCCCATCGTATAGCTGCCATACACCGCCACATTTAAAAACGTGTAAAGTTGTACTTTGTTCCTCCAGCCATAACTGGGATATACTAATTTGATGTTTGAGAAAATTTGTTTAATCCTTAAATTAAAAAAAAAATTAAAATTAATTCTTACCCAGCACCAAACCAACTGTTAGATTTATCATAGAGATAAGAAAACGGGCCAGAAATTATAAAAATTTTCATCTTTACAGCACACTGATCGAGGAATGGTTTCCATGGCCAACAACGGACCCAATGCCAATGCCAGCCAATTCTTCATCACGTATGCTGCCCAGCCAAATCTGGACCTGAAGTACACACTATTCGGCCGTGTCATCGATGGCTTTGATGCTCTAGACGAGCTGGAGAAGCTGCCCGTCAATCCCAAGAACTACCGCCCTCATGTGGACAAGAAGATCAACGGCGTGACCATACATGCCAACCCTCTCGCCACGTGATAGAGAACACAAATTTCCAATCATACGCTTAAAATGAAATATATTTATAGCACTTAAGTTTACACGATTTCTTCGATTACAAACTAATTGATTGAGAAACATCAAATATTGTGCAAAAGTACCTAACGACTAAATCTTAAAATCAGCCAAGTCACAATTGTTTATAAAAAATTGCATTGTTTATGTCTAACTCTCTCGACGACTTTTGCACTTAATTTGGAGCTTACACTAGACGGATGTTTAAGATGTGTTTAAAACGATCAACTAGAAGGGATAAAACAAATGCTAACAAGAATCTCGACTACATGGATTATGTGGAGGTGCCGTTTGTGAGTGATTTGGCGGGCTTCGGATGGTCCTTCATGTGCTGCTCGAACATGCTGCGAATGTCGGACAGAGCCTGCGAGATGTTCTCCGCGAAGCGATGCACATCCTGCAACGAAAATAATATTAGCCTAGCTGCATTTAGTGAAAGGATACTCCTTACCGTTTGCTGGCACGTAGTCTTCGCTGAGATATGGAAGAATATCAGGTTCTCTCCGGCAATGATGTACGACACACCATATCCATCATCGGCCACGGGTCCAAAGCCGCCGCCAGCGCTGATGCAGTTCGGATGCTTCTTCAAATCCATCTTCGGCGTCTGGCCGTGCGGAGTCTGACTAGTGGACAGGCGCCAGGGCTCGCTGAGCACCTCGTTGAGGAAGGGAGAGTCCACCTCCAGGTACTTGGAAACGACATAGAGGCAGAACAGATGCCTGTCAATCCCGCGGCCGCACATGGCATCCTGGTAGCCCAGCTGGTGGCGATCGCAGGCATCCTGAAGCATCTTCACGCGCTCATCGTTCTGTTCGGTAAAAAAAAAGTAAGGATTAGCCTTGATCCAAGCAAGAAAGTATTCAAAGATCTTACGGTTGTGTTGGGATTCTGCATGGCCTTAACCCAGGCGGATGACTCAATGGTGCAGGGACGGACCGTCTCTGTTCTTCCTTCCCGGAAAAGACGCGTCATGGAGGCCTCGTAGGTCAGCGAGAAGCGACCGGCATCCCGATAGTAGGCCAACTGCAGGGCCATTTGGATGTAGGCATCCGGTGAGATGCGGCACTTCTTCATAAAGCCCTTTCCGTACTCCTGGTGGACCAGGATGCGCAGGTTCACCTCGTTGATTAGCTTGGTCACGTCGATGGTGGCCTCTTCGATCTGCGGCAGGCAGGGCTTAAGATCCCAGGTGAGCCTGGTTGGTGTGGGTGGCTGGAACTCGGGGGTGCCCTTGGTGTTGCCAGATTCATCGTATCTACGGGGTTACCAAGTAATGGGTTAGCATTAAGGACGATCTTTTGCGGATATGTATGTCAAGCAACGTAAATCAAAGTCTGGTTAATTTTGTGTAATAGTTGTTAGTCACGAAAACCAAATAAATTAAATGTTTGCCTTTTGGGTTGATTAGCATTTGTAAATACAGTAAATAAACGTAAAAAGGGAGAAAGGTAAACCTATAAGCGAATATTGAATATAATTAAATGATCATTTTATCAGATGTAAATAAATAGGTGCGTAGTACTGACATACTGGACTTTGTTATATTTTTATGGCTCCTTGAAACTAATATTTACTGTATCGCCAGATCATTAAAGCTTTTAACGCCTGGAGACTCTCGCACTCAACCCAAAATGACTTAAATTGCTTTGCTTTGTGCTTGTGTGCTTTGGAATTAAGTGTTTACCCATAAATATCATCACCAAATATATACTCCCATAGATGTCCCAAAACCGGTGCATCGGCCCTAAAAAAAAGGGTAAATGGTGTAAATAAATTGTTAGGCCACAACCGGGGTTAATAAAAATAATAATTTAATTGGGACAATGGGTGATAACTGATAACTGAAAGGCAATAACTGAACGCAGCCAACCAAAACCGACAAATTGCAGGCGGGCATAGGAATCGAAAATCATTACCCCTCCGATACAAGATCATCGACGATCAGGTTCTCCCACATGTGTGAGGCGATGGCGGCGTCGGACCTTTTGGATTGTGATTTGGCAGATCGGTTCAGATAGTTAAGATTATGGAGTTCTTTTGGGGTCTGAAAGGACTGATTAGGAGTAAAATCTCCACTTACCAGGTGTGCTCGGCATTGAAGCCAACACGTCCATTGGTGCCCACACAGACGGTGAAGCACTTGTCGAACCAGCGGTTGTAGCCATTGCCGTGGAGCAGCTTCTTGCCAAAGTTGTCCAGGAGCTCCGGACGCGCCAGGTCGAACTCGAAGGGCTCATCGTCCAGGGAGAGCACGAAGGCAGCCGACTCGATGGTTCGCAGGGAGATGTGGTTGGCGCCCCTCGAGAAGAATGTGTTGCGGGCCTCCGCCCACTTGGAGCGATTCCAGGCGGTCAGGGCAGCCAAGTGCTCCTCGCCTTCCACGGGAGTGGCCTTTCCCTTAAGGATTTCCTCAATTTGCCTGCAACAGAATACCAATTTTTTAACAATAACCTAAGGCTTTCTACCTGGGGCACTACTTACACTTGCAGCTCGCAAGGACGCAGGATGCGACCCTTGTAGTAGATGGGCATCTTGTAATAGCATCCCTTGTGCAGCACGACAATGTGGTTGGAGTCCCTGTAGTGAATGATGCGATCGGTTTCCAGGCCGGGCACACGAGCCGTGTTGAAGGTACGTTCGTACTGCCAAGAGCACAGGGGAATCATGCCCTGAACCATGATCTGAAGGGAAATAGTAATCAATCAATCTGTGCTAATCTTAAAAGAGTTGGTTGGGAAAATGGTGACGATATTATTATTTCTATGCCTCATTATTAAAGGGTAAACAGATAATTTCACTTAAAGAAAGCAGACGGACATGACAAATGGTTCATAAATGTGTCTATTAAAGAGTTAACTTTAAGAAAGCCTTGCATATATCATTGGCACTTACAGGCTGTAGTTCCTGGTGCTCGATCAGGCGACGGAAGTTGAGCAGCAGGGAGATCACATTGGCCGCTCGCGCCGCCTGCTTATCGGTGAGGTTCATGAAGATCGCATCCGTGCCGTAGAAGTTGCTGTTCACGCACAGGGGGCTGCGACCACGCAGGTAGACGTACTCCTCCCACCAATCGGACACGTAGTTGGTGGACCACCAGCTCTTGAGGATGAGGTACCACTGCAGCTTCTTGCCGATGTTCTGCTCGAACTCCTTGGCCAGTCGCTCCATGCGCGTGTAGTTATCATCGTCCAGCAACGGACGAACACTCCGCAGGTACCTGGTCATCGTGTCACTGACGGAGGGCAGCGGCAGCCTGGGCAGGGATCCCTGGAAGCTGTACAGGCCCGGCTTGTTCCAACTGGAGAGTACCCGCACCACTGCCACCCACAGCATGGTGGGCAGGGAGACTCGACTGCCAGGCGCTCTGGACTCGTACATCCAGCCCTTGTACATGAGCAGCAACTTGAGGGTGTACCTCATCGTGAAGCAAATCGAGAGCCAGACCACCAGAGCGGCCAGAAAGCAGGCAGCCACCTGCCAGTTTATTGTGTTGGAGGGCAGGTGCACCAGTATCCGGTTGGTCAGGTTAAACGGAGCCTGGTAGCCCGCAAAGTGCAGACCCAGTGCAATAGCCGAGATCAGCCAGAGGCTCTGGATGTGGGCCGGATAGACGCCATTGCGTACGCCGTTCTAAATGAAAAAAGCATTTGATTAGTCTGGAATTTAATGTAAAGTAAATCTGCCACAAGAACGTACCCTGGCGCGTCCCAAACGCTTTTTCCAGGAGCGAATTCCTGAATTCCACACCAAGTTGAGCACCTCGTGGTCATAGTTGATGTCGAAGCCCTCGTGGGTGATGGCAAACGAGAATGCCACGGCGGCATGGGCTTCAGCCATACCTGCAGGCTACTAATGATATCCCACGTGCAAGAAAATGCTGCGGGGGATAGAAAATGGAAATATTAAGCATATATATATCATCATTTGGAAAGTTTCACTTTAAATCTTAAAACAGAGTCCCTTATTCCCTCGAACTAAACAAAACCAAAAGTTGTAATCTAAACAGCCCTATTCTATCTAAAATACGATTCCAGAACACATGCTAAACCAGTTAAACTGATTTTATTTGATTGTTTTGAAGGTGAACGCCTACAAAACCCCAGTTTGGGATCCTGATAACTTGCTCCTTTGTGGTCTAGATGGACTGTAATAAACGTTCGCTGATAAGATGGAATAATGGAAATTGCCAGACAACCGAATCATGTGATTCATTAAAAAATATCTTGCTCATTTCGCCACTCGCGATCAAGCTAAAATGCGTTTTAGATTGTAGATACTTCACATGTGCATATCTGTTCCATGGAGTGTTTTGTTTGGGGCAACAACGGTCCAAAGTTCATCAAAATGTTACACGCTTCAGATTCGCTTTATATAAATTAATTAGTATACACGCTTCGTATTCTGTACTCGGATGTCATAACATCTTACATGCAATTGACGATTGACGTCACTGAGCGCGGTTTTATTCAGCTGGGGTTATCATCATCACCGGTATAGAGTCCGTCTGATGATTCTAGGTCTAGGCAGCAACAGCTGGCGGTCACTTCTAGAATCGGCTTCGGTGGCAAAGAAAATAACACAGCGAAGACAAAGTTCATCGAAGGCCTTTTCCACTTCGCACTGGGAAGATAATTACTCTGATAAATAATTTGCGAACTTCCCCGAGCAGCTGGAATTCTATACCTTCGCTGGGATTGGATTCGCAATTAAATTGCACAACTATTTGATTGCTATTGTTATTCGTTCGAGCGCCTATTCAACGTTTATACTCAGCTTTGGAACTCTGCATACCAATGCATGCACATATATGTTTATTTATATTTATCTATTTATAAAAGTTCCTCAGATAGCATGCACAGTCTCACATCGAACACTCCGAGCTATAACGTTTCGCTCCAAACCAGATAAACCTTGGTTCGAAGTATACACCTTGGTGAAGGTCAGTGCATCCGATCGGATATCTATTGTCCAAACATATCAATAAACCAGAATGACCACCAGCTCCAACTCGAAATAGCCACAAAAAGATACGATTCGAATTCATTTTCGTTTGACCCACTTTGGGGCGACGACTATGCGGCGTATGCTTAATAATTTGAGCACCGACCACTACCGGCTTTTATTTGTTTGCGTATAAGCGAGAAAAACAACAACAGCCACTAGTATAACCTCAGCATAGGAAAAAAAAACAGAAATAAATATATGCGCGATTTGTTGTTTTTTTTATAAGATATTTTTTCTTGTTGCTGGGCACGAGGGAACAAAGTCCACAAATGATTTTTTCACAGTCTGCGCGGCCTGCGATCTCTTCCTATACGCGGTCTACGTCGTTAATTATATTGCATGAAATTTAAATTGTTGTTATTTTCTAGATCGAGTGGGCCCGACCTTGTGCCCAACCATATGCATATGTGTGTTTACCCGTGAGGGAGGCGGGTCCAATGCCGGGTTTTATGTAACCACTAAAAATTCCACACCCCCCGAGCTGATAACGTTTATAACAGACTTTTCAACTATCAAAAACATGTGCCAGAATTTGGGTCACAAAAGTGAGACCGAGATAAAGACAGGGGAAAGATCAGAACGTGAAAACAAAGGGGGCTACGTAAGCCGCAGAAATGCAACCTTTGCAGAAACAGAAACCATTGCTTTTCTTTTTAGCGTTGTTTACGCTTTTCCGCTGGCCTGAAGGTCGGGACAAGAAATACATAAGAAACACAAACAAACCTTCTCGGCGAATTAAAATAATTCGGTATAAACTGTTTCCTCTACCGCGTTGTATTAATTGCACTTCGACGTGTGACTGTGGTATTTATAAACGTTGCGGGGGGAAATGACAACTGCGAAATCCTAGGCAAGATGCACACACGAGAATTTCCACTGGGGATATTTCGGATCCCCTTTCAAAAGCAACTTGATCGGTTGGACGCGGAGCATTGACTGAATCGACTGCGAGCACAACGGGTTCGCTAGGGTCTTAAAAGCACTCGGAGCTCTGCGAGCGGAGCGCAGAGATATAGTATAGCCGATGTGCTTTTCTGGCGGCGATATGTGGATGTGGATGCGTCACAAGTCGAGGGGCTCGTTGCTCCGAGAGTGGAAGAGTGGAAAGGGTGCCTTTCGGAGTGTGTTGACCGCTGATACTCCGGTGACAGTGTCTCTTCAGATCGATAGGGCGGCTTATCTCATGCCGAAATGGATATCTGATTGGGCCCCATGAACACTGAACACCTACATTTATGGTGAGAGTACTCATCTTTTGAAGGGGTATACGCAGTTAGTCTTGTCAATAATATCTCTTGAGAACTTGTTTTCAACTTGGCTAGACTAATTTCTCGGAATCGAGTTGCACTAATCAGAGCACTGGAAGAACTAAAACAAGAAAGGAAGCTAGCTTCGGCCAGCCGAAGCTTAAATACCCTTGCAGATCATTCCTATTAATTAACAAATCGCAAAAATGTTCAATTAATTTCATAAATCTCATTAATTTTCCGATCGTTCCTATGGCAGCTATATGATATAGTAGTCCGATTTTTTAAATAATTAATTCGAAATTCAGAAATATTTAAAAAATAACATCCCCAAAAGTAGAAGGTAATATTTCAAAAAACACCGAAGCTAGAATTTTTTGAACGTTTTCTTTTCCGATCCTTCCTATGGGAGCTATAAGATATAGTTGTCCGATCCGGTCGGTTCCGACATATATACTACCTGCAATAAAAAGAAGACTTTTGGGAAAGTTTCATTCCGATAGCTCAAAAACTGAGAGACTAGTTTGCGTAGAAACAGACAGACGGACAGACGGTCAGACGGTCAGACGGTCAGACGGACAGACGGACAGACGGACAGACGGACATGGCTAGATCGACTCGTCTAGTGATGCTGATCAAGAATATATATACTTTATGGGGTCGGAAACGTCTCCTTCACTGCGTTGCAAACTTCTGACTGAAATCATAATACCCTCTGCAAGGGTATAAAAATTATATCTAAGAATTTCGTAAAGTCACTCATATTTGTTTGGTAACTGGAAAACACTTGGCAAACACAGTTTTTAAGTATCATATACATTTTTATACATTTATAAGCTTTAAAATTACCTTTACTTTTTACTTTTTTTAATGTAAATTATACAGATAGTAAAACATTAAATTTTAACTAGTTTCACTGGGCTCAACACATATTAAGAGGGTAACAAGCCAGATAATGTGGCAATTTATTTATTTGATAAGATATTTAAAAAGTCTAAAGGGCATGATAAAACCCACCTGGTGCTTATCCCATATATCTTTAGCTTAGCTATAAAAAAAGCATAAATAACTGATATTCGAGATTGCAGTCGGCACGATTTCGTAATATCAGAACTCGGTATCATAAAGATTAGGCTTTAAATTGGGCAGTGGGACTTTGACCTTTCCGCAGATGGCGCTGTGCCTGCATTTGGGTTAGGTAAGCAACTTCAGATCTGAAGATCGGCTCTCCACACCTGTTCTTATCGCTGTTACATGGCGAGTTAGCTTGTTTACTTGATAAACTAGCTGAAAAACAAGTCCTAAAGATGTGATTTTATAACCGAAAACTGACCAATGAACAGGCCCAGATAAGCAAAAGTTTAGAAGACCGATAAAACCTATCGCTCACTATTTATAGTTGAAAGTCCAATAATCACAGTGGCGGGGGGCCTGTGAGAACTTTAGTAGTACGCAATTTCGGCGGACTGATAAGGTTTGCCAGAGCACGCGGTTCCGATAAGAGGTAAGTGCTGTCAGAATAACCTAGTGCAATCGGTGACGCGTTGAAAGTGTCTACCTGGCATAAAAAACACTCGCTTATCGCTCGACGCTAATCAAGATCTTGGTACTCCCAAAGAAAGTCTGCCCAGATCGGAGAGTTTCAACTGAAATCCCCACCGCAAAGCAAAGCAAGTGAGATGGTGCACCAGTGGTTCTGGTGGTGGTGGTATCTGTATCTCGAATTTGGACTTTGAACCGTAGCAAACTTGAAATGTGCGACGGCTACCGCCGACAAAACAGCCAAGGCAGCGACGCATGTCTAACGAGAGCGGGACGAACGCGGTGGGCCTCGCGGAGGGTCTCGGGGTATCGAGGGGCGGTACAAAGGCGCTGGGAACCAGTTGTGCTTGGGACCCTCGCAAATCATTCACAGCTGCCGCTGCCACCGAAACGAAAATGAATAAAATCCAGCACAGTATCTTCTCGACTGCAAATTACCCGGTAGTATTACATTGGTTCAGGTTTCTGAATTAAGTGTTCTGCCTGTAGTCAAGGGATTTAGGTAACCATTTCGAAATATGAAAGTAGGTACTTCATATTAACCATTATAAAGTATGAACGTCCATTGAAGGTAATTGAGAATGTAACACACTTTGAGTTGAGGATGGTCGCTAAGGGCGTGCATAACATACAATACAAAGTATTTTGATTTTATAATCAATCTAGATCGTTTTCCTTTCAAATAATTAAAAAAAGAAAATGTAGGTACTCAAGTCTTTTAACCCTAATGCATTATTAATAAATTTAATTGATTTTTTTACATCTATATATTTAAATTTTTAAAAATATCTTCGTGTTTTTCCATGTTATAAAAATAAATAAATAAATTATATTACCAAAGCCCCTAAATACAGTGAGTCACATTAATATTCGGTTTTTTTTTTTGTCAACTTCAAACGTGAATAAAAAGTTTGAAACTAATAAAACAAAAAATCAAATAATGCAGAAATAAAGCTTATTTTATTACCTTTTCATAGATATATATATGTTATTACTTTTTTTAAAATTTAACTGAGAAACATGCATAAACGAAAGAAATGCCGAATATTGGGGCCACATTAATATTCGGTTTTCCCTTTTGTACTAAAAATCAAAAAAATTATTTAGGAAATAAACTAAATTTGACATTTGAAATGCTAGCCATTATTGTCTATGGTATCGTTTAAATATTTTGGCATACTTTAAAATTTTTTTTTTGCCTATTCTGGGCCAGTTTTTCCAACCTAAAAAAAGGATGTACGGGATAATGTCAAAAAAGTTTGCAAAGGTACAACAAATTCTGGATTTTTTTTTTTTAATTTATGGTTAAACCCCTAGCCTTTAACTAGAAATCAGTTTCAGCGCAATCCATTCATCACACCAAAAAAAATGGATGGGTACAAAAGCAGAGTCGCTCGAAAATTCATTTTTCCTTAAGTTTTGTATGGAATCAAGCAGCAAAACGCTTCTTCTGAGCGACTCTGTTTTGTACCCATCCACTTTTTTTGGTGTGATGAATGGATTGCGCTGAAACTGATTTCTAGTTAAAGGCTAGGGGTTTAACCATAAAAAAAAAAATCGAGAATTTGTTGTACCTTTGCAAACTTTTTTGACATTATCCCGTACATCCTTTTTTTAGGTTGGAAAAACTGGCCCAGAATAGGCAAAAAAAAAATTTTAAAGTATGCCAAAATATTTAAACGATACCATAGACAATAATGGCTAGCATTTCAAATGTCAAATTTAGTTTATTTCCTAAATAATTTTTTTGATTTTTAGTACAAAAAGGGAAAACCGAATATTAATGTGGCCCCAATATTCGGCATTTCTTTCGTTTATGCATGTTTCTCAGTTAAATTTTAAAAAAAGTAATAACATATATATATCTATGAAAAGGTAATAAAATAAGCTTTATTTCTGCATTATTTGATTTTTTGTTTTATTAGTTTCAAACTTTTTATTCACGTCTGAAGTTGACAAAAAAAAAAACCGAATATTAATGTGACTCACTGTACATCGAATTATTGACATACATTACACTATGCAGCATCAAAAATTAACCTCGATGAATGCTATATTTTTGGATTCGTTACGAATTCCCAAGTTAAACTGCGTTTTCCAAAGAGTTCCCCGACGCAAGGATTCTTAGCAAAAGGACCTCAAAGTTCGAAAAATGCTGAAATTGACCAACTTTGCGGAGCTCTCAGAGGCAAATGGATGCATGGCTTGGTTCGAAGTTAAAGTTTTTTAAAAGATACACCCTTTATCTTTCAAACCCCATACATAAAATAATTTTAGGATTTTTTTAAGGCAGAAATAAATTCCAAAAAACATAGTCAAAAAACTGAAAAACATACAGCTGCGGTCAAAATAGTAGCAGTGTTGCCGCCTTGTGTTTTTAAAAGTTTGATGTTGTAATTTTTTCTTATCCAATTAGTCTAATAGTAAAATTATAATCAATACAATATTACCAGTAAAAGATCAGTTACAACAACAAACTTTTAAATACACAGGGCGGCAACACTACTACCATTTTGACCGCAGCTGTATACTTTTATGTTTTTTGACTATGTTTTCTAGAATTTGTTTCTGCCTTAAAAAAAATCTTAAAAGTTTTTTAAGTATGGGGTTTAAAAGGTAAAGGGCGTATCTTTTAAAACACTTTAACATCGAATCAAACCATGCATCCATTTGCCACTGAGAGCTCCGCAAAGTTGGCCAATTTCAGCATTTTTCGAACTTTGAGGTCCTTTTGCTAAGAATGCTTGCGTCGGGGAACTTTTTGGAAAACGCAGTTTAACTTGGGAATTCGTAACGATTCCAAAAATATAGCATCCATCAAGGTAAATTTAAAAAGCACTAAAAATGCTGCACAGTGTTATTATAAAAATATTTCTGATTTTCAAAGAATTTTTGCTCTTGTAAATCAAGCGTATAAAGTAATTTGTATTTTTATGTATTTTTTTTAATAGAAAAATATTCTTTATTGATGGATGAATAAAATGTATAATCCATATTTCTGCAACTGTATTTTTTATATTTATAGATGAAAAGGTACAAGGTATCCACACATCAGAAAGTGCCAATGCAAAGCAATTATCTTAATAAAATACATATGTAGATATACCCTCTAACTCTACAATCACCGGGTATGAAAGCAAAACAATCAATGGAGGAGGTCAATAGCTAATGGTTTCGCTACTTTCCATGCTAGTTAACAGTTGGATTCTGGGCTTATTATATTAGCCAAGTATTTGTTGTTGGGTTCAGTCGGTTAAGCTTTTCCTTGGCATTTTCCTTTCGAAAAGAAAAGCAGGGGGTGGGGCAAAGGGGCGCAGAGAGCGTCACAAGTCCATACAGCTGCACCTGCCTGCTTTTGTGTGGGTGTCTGTTTTGTGTTTGATTTACAGATGTTTACCAGAAAAGCTCTCTCAGTTTTTCTCACTCTCCATCTCCTCCCACTCAAGACTAAGAAAAGAGAGAGAGCCACTAAGAGAGAGCGTGCCCCGTTAAGCCTCTCTAAAAACTTGTTTCGGACTTTGAACCGCTTCGATTAAAGCGTGTTTTGAAAAACACAAAACATCAACGCATACGTCGTAACAAAAAATTAAAACAAACAAACAACAACAAGGCAACTAGAGACTCGTCGAGGGTTTTGTAATAAATACATTACTATTTGTTTTTGGTGTCCATTTCGGGCAACAAGTTTTTATAAGATTTCTGACCTAATTATTTGCAAACAGGTTGAAGTTTTCCATTTGTAGCTTTTTGGGGGCGGACAGGGGGCGGGGCAGTGAGAGTAGGTGGGTTTCTGGGGCAACGGTAGTCGCCCAGGTAAATTTACCTAGACTTACTTTCTTGAAAACGCACTTAATCCTCGGCCAATAGCAGACTCCTCTTTTAAATGCAAAGCAGGCGAAACAATAAAGAGCGCACAGGGAAAACAACAAGAATTACACAAAATGAAGGACGACGGACGGCGGAACAGCGAAAAAGCCAAGACGCGCGCGCAATGTTGTAAGGTTGTAAGCGTTGCGGTGGCGAAAGAGAGACTGAAACTGCGCCTGAGAAGCAAAAGCGAAACGGAAGCAGCGGCCAAAGAAGAGCAGCAACAATTCCACCATATGATCGGGGCAACAACAGCAGCTGTCCAGTGGTGGTGGCTAAACAACTTTCAAAAGGGTTAAGCTTTCACAAACATAAGTATGCACATTTAGGGTGGACTTTTTATACCCGTTACTCGTAGAGTAAAAGGGTATATTGTATTCGTGCAAAAGTATGTAACAGGGAGAAGGAAGCGTTTCCGACCCTATAAAGTATATATATTCTTGATCAGGGTCACTAGCAGTGTCGATATAGCCATGTCCGTCTGTCTGTCTGTCCGTATGAACGCTGAGAACGCTGTGTCTAATAAATGTATGCGAAAACAAAAAAAAATTATTTGTACGTTTAGGCGGTGCGCAGCGGTCCCAAAGTTTCAGTAAAATAACGTGTACGAATGGTAACATTTTTTTTTCTTCCTTAACTTGTCAACTTTTTTGTTCCGCTTAAATAAAAGAGTCAAGTAGAAGTTTATTTAGCGCCTATTAACAGTTGGAAGTAGCCTAGCTTGTAGAGCTTCTGTCTCCTACTAAAAAGGACGGAGTTCGATCCCAGATCCATCAGGTTTTTTTTTGTGCGATTCACACTTAAAAGGGATTCCATATTATAATTTTGAAGACTAACTGTCACTTTTGCGTTCGCCAATAAAAGTTATAGTCAAGGAAAGTTACGCTGTACACAGGTTTTGTTTACGAAATATTTCCAAGATTTTGTGTGTGCGTATTACTAAATTGAAAAGACAGGTGTGTTTTGGTTTTTTTATACGTTTTTTTTTATTTTATATTCATTGCCAATTTGTTGCAGAAAATCCATTAGCGCCTCCAACCTGACCAATATTGTGACCATGCTGGTCACCAGCTGTATGGCCACTTAAGGATCCTCCACCTCGTCCTGGATGTTCTTGAACGCTTCCAAAAGAGAATGCTCCATTAGGCTCAACCATTTCCTTCCGATGACCTTAAAGAGGTCGGAGTTCACATGGTTAAGTGAAACCTTCCCGGGCAGTACATTGAAGAACCTCTGCAGCATGTTTTTAATGGGGGGCAGCTCATTTTGGTAGACGACCTGCGCTGAGTCGTGCATCACACCTGCCCCGACCGACCAATAGTTGTCCATGCGGACGGCGTAAGATTCTTCACAGAAAACTTCGCTTTGGTAAAGGTGCCGGAGCAGGGAGCAGGGCGTCGCAATACCCAGCACGGGCCAGTGTCCCGCACAGATGCCTGTGGTCGTACATCACAGGGCACCCAGATTTTTGCATTTCGATGCAGACCTAAAAATAACAAATAATAATCATATTCATAATAATTTTTTGATCGCACTTACCACTTGGATGTAGACGATCCTTATGAACGTCCCGTCCACGGTGACGATGGCTATTAACATGTAACGCCTAGTATCGGCAATCGTCGCGTCCAGGTGTGTTTCGATTTCTTATTGTGTTTTTTTTTATTATTTATTTTGTTTATTTTATTTTTTAGGGTTTGCGAATTAGCTTCTAAGTTTATCAACCATACGCACAGTTGCCTTTGATCAATAAGTTTTTTTTAATCTAGGTGGCATAGATTTTAACAATTCATTTGATGTTTTGCTTTCCCGTTTGTAATTCCAACGAAATTTATAATTTGACAAGACTAGAAATGGGACAACGATTTTTTTCGGCCAAATTCGAACTCTTATACGTATCTTATGTGTAATTTTCAGAGACCGTAATCATTATAAGTGATATAATAAAAATCAATATTTTATGATTATTTATTGATTTCTATAAATTTGACTCCATTTAATAATTACTTGTTGAGTTTTTTTCAATCGCTCAAAGAATAAGTATTATAATTGTGAACGAAAAAAATATCGATCAAAAAAATAATGACTAATTTTTGAGCGTTATTTTTTCGCTCAAAGTGTGTTAAAAACACAGTGTGTAAAAAACACGTCGTGTTATTAACACATTGTGTAAAAAACACAAGTGAGCTATGTGTGCTAACAAATATTTTTCACATTTTAACACTTATGTATTTGACACACATGTCAACAATTTTGCTCAAACTGTAAAATACAATTTTTCATATTTTACATGTGTGTCAAATACCGAACCCTGAATTCATCAAATAATTGTATTTTTAATTTAAAGAATTATTTGATTATAGAATTTTTCTTTGAGCCTATTATATTGATAGGTTAAGAAGTTTTTCATTAATTTCCTATGTGAGACACTTGGTTTCAAGTTTGAAAAAACTTTATATTTAAAGTACGTACATTAGAATAGATGAAATTTTAAAATTTTAAGGGAGAACAATTTTTAAACAAGAGAGAACGCTATAGTCGGGTGTACCGACTAGCCTAAGGTAGCCTAAGAATCTACGTTATTAATACGAACTTTCCAGCTTTTATATTTTCCGAGATCTCAGCGTTCATACGGACAGACAGACGGACATGGAATATATATACTTTATAGGGTCGGAAACGCTTTCTTCTACCTGTTACATACTTTTGCACGAATACAATATCGAGTAACGTTGCAACATTGATATTAATCAAGTATGAACAACTTTTCTGGTCTGAAAAGGAACAGAAATTGAATTTTTTTTAATCAAACACACATGGTTTTCTGTTCAATAAATGAGATATATATATTTATCAAATATAAAATGCTGCTCTAAATGGAACATTTGCTTCTTGCATCTTAACTAAGGTCTTATGTAATCTTTCAGTTAGCCTAAGTACGAAGACCACTATTCGGTTGCAGGAGTAGCCGGCTCCTCCTGCTGCTCCTTCTCCTTGTTGGACAGACCGCGTATGCTGACGTCGTAGACGACCTCCTCGATCTTCTTGACATCATACTTTAGGGCATCGAAGCGCTTCCTCAAGCCATCGTTCTTCAGGTTCAGCAGCCGAAAGCCTGTGTTGAGATCGCCAATAAAGTGGGAAATATTGAGCGGCCGTTCGTAGTCGCCCATGGTGACAGAATTGGTGGCAAATCGCGAGAGTTCCGAGGCCAACTGCAGGATGCCCAGTAGATAGTCCTCCACATCCAGGTGGAAGCCCTCAGACTGGCTGGTCTTCACTGTGGGTTAACCAGAGTTCAGTACTCCATTTGACTTGCTAAGTGATTAAATCCGACTTACATCCCAACATCTCAGCCACAGTTTCACGGGTAACCAAAAAACCCGCCTCCAGGTAAATAACCAAGGCAATGAGAAAGATCAATCGCTGCGTGATATAGGTCCAGTGATCGGAGTATCTGCAGAGGGCGTAGCATTAGACACCCACTATGGGAAAGTACGAACTTCCAACCAACTGACTCACCTGTAGTACTGACCAGCTGGCACCAAGCTGGCCAATTTCTGGTACTTTTCGGCGCAGGCTTCGATCTGTTTGCGAGCCAAGCCACAGGAGCCACTTACTGTATTCCAAGGAAAAAATATATATAATCCATATAATAAATCAAAAATCCAATCCAATATACTCACTCTGGCTCAAATCGCTGTGTATAATCTGCAATTTAATCTGAGCTTCCTTGGCCAAATGTTCGATTTCGCGCACCACAATGCGAATGTTCTGAAAAAGGCAGGGGTTTCAAAATTGCTCTTAAAGTAATTGAAGAGTTACCGACCTCCCTGAGCTCCTGCTCATTATCTATGTACTTTTGGTAATTCGAAAAGATGTCCAAATTCACAAAGTTCGACATTTTTGCTCAATAATTCACTTGCTTTTGTTGCTTGTTTATGCCGGCGATAGAGATGGTAGATAAATCAAGCAATAGTCTGGGCGATGCTATCGATAGTTGCGCGTGTTATCGCTTGCCCACGACAGTGTTGGCTAATGCCCGTTTGTGCCATCTGTAGTCTTATTAATTTTGTTTTGCGTCAATCAAGTTCCAATTAGAAGAGAAATAGGCTCGTGACAAAATGTCGTATGTGAGTGTTATTGGTCTTATAAAGTCGAATTAAACTATTAACCTTTGAGTATCCGCAGGGACAAGGCTATAACCCCTACGCTCAGCCCGGTGGAGGCTATGCCGCCCCGCCCGGAGCATTTCCGCCGCAAAATGCCCAGGTTTCTCCCCAGGCACAGCAATGGTTTCAGATGGTGGACCGGGATCGATCTGGAAAGATCAACGCATCCGAGTTGCAGGCGGCCCTTGTAAATGGGCGCGGCGATCACTTCTCGGATAACGCTTGCAAGCTGATGATAAGTAAGCAGGAGTCTCGAAAGAGTACCCCAAAATTCCCATGCATACCTCCCCCTCCAAGAGGAATTGTGACGTCAGTGACTTCCGTGTTGTATACCCATACAGTAGAACTTCCAGTGATGTACAGGTAAAATCAGTTCAGAATTGTTATTGCTATCAAATGCATATGTGTTATTGATTCTGGAAGTTCTACTGTACTTAAATCCCCATTTGTTTAGAACACCTGGAGCGCACTATCTAATTTGTTTACCCTAAGATTTATGTTGTATTTTATCGGATTTTTTAATTTACTCAACAGGCATGTTCGACAACGATGCCAGCGGAACCATTGATGTCTATGAGTTTGAGAAGCTCTACAACTATATCAACCAATGGCTGGTAAGTTATTTATAGTCTTGATACTACGTATTTTTTACCTATTTTTGGCTTACTGTTACAGCAAGTCTTCAAGACCTACGACCAGGACGCTTCTGGACATATTGAAGAGCATGAACTCACCCAAGGTTCGTCAAACTTTGAAAACGATAATAAGTACTTATTATTTGGACTTATGAGTCAATCCCCATTTTCTATACTCTCCATCTTTTACGGATAAACAAGAATTTTTTTATTTGACAAACGCTTTCAAATTATATTTTCTAAATTTTTTTTCCTTCAACAAAGTAAGTGACTCATTTTCAAAAAGAAAATACGTCGAAGTTCTGTTACGCCTTAAATGAGTCAACTCTTACTATAAATTTGTTGGTATCAGTGATAAAAAAACCAGGTCAAATTAGTCTATGATAAAATTGCAAAAAAAAAGAAAAAGATGTATCTTTAATGATACAAGGAACTAAGAACTACTCTAATAATTCAAAAAAAATACTTAATATGGCTTTATATGATGAATGATTTTTCTTTAGGATAAAGATAAAAAAAAACAGTATTGTTTTATGGTTTAACTGATAATCAAACTATTTATTTAATATCCTTACAGCGTTCACCCAGATGGGATTCCGCTTCACACCAGAATTTATCAACTTTCTCGTGAAGAAGAGTGACCCCCAGAGCCACAAAGAAGTATCAGTAGATCAGTTTATTGTACTCTGCGTCCAGGTGCAGAGGTTCACGGAAGCGTTCAGGCAGCGCGACACCCAGCAGAACGGAACCATCACCATTGGCTTCGAAGACTTCCTGACCGTGGCCATTGGCTGCTCGTACTGAAAGAATTAATCAAGGCAACCACTCCAAGGGAATCAATATCCACGCTCTTGCACATATACATTGCAGCCAACAGAGGAAGAACAATAATTCCGCTCCTGGTGCATTTTCTTTAAATTTCTTCGGTGTTTGATAGCTTTTTAATATGTAATCGCATTATTCACTCCATAGTCATATTGCAATCTCCTGGTATCAGAATCAAATTTCAAAAGTATTTGTTATCGCACTTCGACTCAATCATAGTACAAAGTCTCTTGCGCCTATTAATAAACTATACACATGTATTTTTAAAAAGTAATATATTATTGTGTTTTATTTAAAATGTAAACATTGTATATGAAAAGTTCATTATAAAATCATGTCTTATGTTAGCAGTCACACTGCCCCACAGTTCGTAATCGTGTCTTCGTGGATCGGTGAAGATCACGATGATATGCAGATAGGAATTATAATCTTATTTAATATACAATCATAAAATCTCGGGCGATTCAATGTGACGGCACAAAAGCTTAATCGTAAAATACAAACATTAATATCAGATAAAACATTTAGGCATAATAAGTGTTTGGTTTTTGGTTTGGGAATCGTATTATGTTCCAATTTTTTTGGTCATAGGTATATAATTTTTAAGATACAAAAAACTCAGTCTCAAGGTCCACAAATATATGAATTGAATGTCTTTAGGGCGAGGAATAGTTGTTTTCCAAAATGGGTAATGGATTGTTCAATAGTCAGATCCAAAGTAATCTCTTCTAAGCTAGTTCAGTCATGGAGTATCATTGTAAATGGCATCGATTGAGGTTATCGAGTAACTACCAAAGGTTTTGTCTTCGAGCTCGATCAAGACAAGTTAAGAGATCGTTGGATGGCAGAGGGTTTTTGGACAAGAAGCTGGAAACTTTTCGGAAATGCGCACTTGACGGGCCCTAATAGAATACTTTTTCTGGACAGCAGCGTTATGCGTTTAATATCTTAAACAGTAGAGTGGCCTTAAAAAAAATATTTGAGTGTTGCTTGAAATCCAAGATGGCATTTTGCTCACAAATTCGTAACTATAAAATTGATATTTTGCGATTGATCGATATTTTGTTTTTTTTTTTACAATTTTAAAGATAAGAACTAATGATTTAACGTACAAACGCATCGTTAAAAGAAAGGCCTTAAGACTACTTTGATTATTTGCTTGATTAGATTGGTTTTCATTTGCTTAGATTACATAAATTATTACAATTGTAAACATTAAATATTTGGGATGACACATGAATGACAAGAAATAATATTCGCAAATGGAAAAATCGAGACACCAGTCAAACAAAAAATGTATGATTCAATGGAAGCATCAGTTGGTCCGCACACAGTGTTATTTGGTATCAAGCTTGGAGCACTCTCCGTTCACATTGAAGTCGATGATCAGCTTGCCCTGCGAGTCGTCCGACATGGAGCCGCTCATTCCGTTATCGCATTTCATCGAGTACTTGGATCGCCTCTTGCTGGGCAGCTGGGGCAGATCGGTGTGGTGTTTACGCACATGGACGCCGAGGTTTCCGCGCTGCTTGGACTTGTAGGGGCAGTAGGGACACTGATGCGACGGCTCCTTGCCACCGCACTCGACATTTTCATGGCGACGCAGTGTCGACTTCCAGCGATACTTTTTGCCGCAGTGGCGACACTCGTACACCGGTTCGCCATCGAGACCGATTCCATTGGGACTGGTGGTACTCCCATTGCTGCTGCTGCCTCCATAATCGCTCAGGGTGAATTCCAAATTGCGGAAGGCCTGATGGGCCTCGAGGATGGAGTTTGAGGATCCGCCATGGGCATTGGCATTAAACATGCCCAGGCCAGAGCTATTCACGAACTTTCCGCCGTTTTGCTCCATCAGGTGAATGTCATCGAAGGCATGGTAGCGGCCCTCATCCTCGTCCTCGGTCGAATAGCCTGGTTCGTTCTCGCATTCCGAGTGACGGAGGTCACGCTCCTGCTGCTTGCGCAGAAGGTTCTCCAGAATTTTGGTTGGTGTAATATCGCTCGGAGCAACTCCAACATCGTTTTCTTCCTTGATGCGACGATGGGGAGTCTGTTGGCGCAGGATCTCCTGAGCGCGCAACTGCTGCTGGAAGCTGTGCAGGCCATTCCTCATCAGTGCCTCGGCAATCACCGCTGCCTGGGGCTTCGGAGCCAAGGCAACCGAACTATTGGCCACCAGCACCGACGTTGGTATGGCCTTCACACCGCCTAGATGTTCCGTGGACGACGCCGCTGTCTTCAGAGTGAATTTGGGCCGTGGATGAAATGAGGCGGCGGCGCCAGCGGCAGCACCCACCACATGTGTTGCTGTGGTGTTCTGAGCACGCATCATTTCATCAGCATTCAAGTTTTTTGAGGCCGTCTCGGAGGCCGATCCATAGACGGCAATGGCCGGAATGGCCGAGGGATCCAGGATCTCGCCGGATGTCGGCGAGACCTGACGATGCGGCTGCTCCTGCTTGGGCACCTTGGCCGACTTGGTCTTGTAGAACTCGAACAGCATGTCGGAGACCTCAGTGACGGACAGGCGTTTGCGGCGAGATCCTGGCAGCTGCACCTTCTGATCATCCCGCTGCTTTCCATTAAGGATGCTGCGCTGGAAGCTGCGCTGAATCTCGGCAGTACTAACCACATCGGGTGCGGTGTTCTCCTTCCGGCTCAAATCTGCAATCGGAAACATAGTTTGGATTAGTTATTTGTCTGTTTTTTATTCTTTCGATTCACTCCTTTTGAAGTTCCTTAGTTTTGATCTCTGTCAAACGTTTTGATGGAGCTGTGACAAATGAAAAAGCAAGTTGTAACTCTCGGTTTGCTGGGTTTAGGGCAAAAAATGGTGTTAGATGAAGGGCATGCAATAAATAGGCAAATAACACTACAAATAAATAAATTATATAAAGCAAAACACATAAAATTCGTTTTTTTTCTTTTCATTAAAAATAAGCAAACAAAAGTACACATAATTGTAAATTTTATTAATTTGGTAACACATTTTTTGGCATAAACAAATAAAGTTTAAAAGCTGCAGCAAATGATAACACTGTTTTTTTTTTGGGTGATGGATGATGATGTTGTGGCTGATGTGTTGGTGGTTTTATGTGGTGGGTGAGTTTTTGAACCGAAACCATTTTAAATGTAAACTCATTACCTGAGCAATCTAGAAAAACAGAGAAGAATAGGTTAGCTATATGTGATGAAATTATATAGATTCCGTGTTTTTGTCACAGGGAGAATTCCGAAGTTTAGCTGAACCTGAAAATAAATAACATTTTTAAATTAGTTGTATTGTTTCAAAACTTGGTTGAATGTGCTTTTTACTCTGCATTGTATGTTTGTGTTTATTGATTAGTATCAATGATACCTTATAATGACAAAAAAATATTATTTTACAAATCGTAGCCACTTTATGTCATTAATTAGTTAACACAATAAAACACAACACAGTTTAAAAAGCACATTTTTGTGCATGTTGCTCCTTCAGCTTTGTGCGTTGGCCTGGGCGGAACTTTGTTATTAGTATTATTAAAAGTTTCGAAATATTTAAATATTTAACTTTCGCTTTCCAAAGCTTTTCGCCTTTTTAGCTGGTTAATTTGCATTCCGCCTCGACCAACGCACCGAAAAGCGTCCACACGGCAACTCAATCAAAACTGCACTGGTTGGCTGGCTCTAGCTTACGGGTTTTCAATCCAAGTCCTAAATCCCGAAACGCAGCTGCATCTGAAAAATTCTCCTTTATCTGCATCTGTGTCTGTGAGTATCTGTGCGAGCGTGTGTATCTGTTGCACAGCAAGTGTAGCCTGCCTGCTTTTTGGGATCGGCTTCATTTCGAATCCTTGATTTATTTTCGGGTTTTCTACCTAAACTCAACAGTTGTTGTTGTGGGCTGTTTGTTGTCCCTTCCTCTCTTTTTATTTATGGAAAACTGCGATACGGAAAACTTTCTCTGAGAGGAAAATCGCTCTCTGCCTGGTGTAAGCGAGAGAGAGTTTTCAAAGCATTTTGAGCAGGCGCAGTGAAATACATATGAACCCAGCTTCCGGTGGTGTGTTCTATGTTTATTTTTCTATTCCAAATGCATCTGTTTAAAATACATGTTGAGTTTTCAAGGTCAGCAGTGGCAAAGTTAAAATAGATTTTATATTCGAAAAGATAGCTTGAAGACCTATTTACAAATACATACTTCTGAGAATACCTCAAATATTTATTATTTTTAAAATGTAAAAAGTAGAGCTTTTCTATTTTCTAAACATATTTATAGTAAAAAGTTATGCGAAAAACTCGGAAGTCGTCTAAAGAAAGGAATAATAGAAACCAATTTAACAAACTCCTAATGCAAATTGTTGTTATATGTTTAATCCTGTTTTAAACTTTTTAAGATGATATAGCTTTAATATAATATACATTAGCTTCCAATATTTTATGTATTGTACATAAGAAATATAAAATTATATATCTATAATATACAACTATTTTTTTTTGCAAAATGGTACTATTGTAAATACAAATTTGTTTGTATTCTAGAAGACCCCAGCTTCCCGAAGATATTTTTTCCAAAACTATGTATAATTTTAGATTCCTTAGCGCAGAAAAGTTAAGGACTGCTAGGTCATAAATAAATGCACATATGTTGGGTATTTCCAGAACTCCAGCTTCAAGGCGCTTCCCTTCTGGAAATATCTTTAAATGCACGCACACACAATTATCTTGTCGATCAAGGTTTACCGACTATTTTCCAGGAATATCCCACACAAATAGCTTGAAAACCAGCCCTTGAACTTGTGTGTCCTGTGTGTTTGAGTTGATATTTCGGATAGATCGGGCCAGGCTTTACGAAGGCAAAGCCCAAAGGAGAGACCGATAGGGCAGGCAGGCAAAATTGGGAAAATCGGGGAAAATCACGTGGGAAGCCCGACTGCAAAAGCCGCACCAGCGCAGATACATATACATAGATATAGATACAGAGCAGGCACGCAGGCAATCTTGGTTCAGGCAGTGGAAAATGGAAAACTTATTTTTAGAAAAATACACAAACGCACAACAAAACAGAGCCTGATTTATGTGTGCGCAAATGTTTTTCAAATGCATTTCGGGTTTTGTGTGGGCGAGAGCGTGAGATGCATGGGTATATCGTGTATCTCAGAGATACATCTCTTTTTCGAGGACAAAAGAGCCGGCAGTACAGTTAGATTGTGGTTGGCCGAATCTCGAGGGAATGGGTTTTCCTTTTCGCACTGCAATGCAGATTCAAGGGCACCATCCACATCCACCCAA